GAACAGGAGGAGGAGGAGGCCGCGTCGCCGCCGCTCGGAGCCCGGCCGGAGCCTCCCAGGCAGGTGCCGAGGGGGGCGAGGGGGCGGGGGCTGACAGACCGGCTGCACCGATGAGGGGGCGGTCAGGACCGCGCTGCGCCTTCTGCCCACCCGGGCGCCCCCCCGGACCCCGGCTGGGAGGACGAGGGAGTGGAGACCCCCAAACTGCGCGGCAGCCATTTGGGGTACCAGTCTCCATTTGGGGGTCTGGAATTCCTCTGAGGACTCCCCATTCACAAAATTCCGTCCTGGACCCCCACCGTTGAGGAACTCAGAGGACCACTCCCCCCGAGGAACACAGATGTGCGGGGAGCGTAGGACACCCCGAAATCCCGGTGCCCCATCCCAGCTAGGCCCTGGGGGGACCCCTGCCCTCTTTCCCTACTTCACCTGTTGTCGGGGGAGGCGGGCGGACAAAGGAAGCAGCGTCACGTGACTGCTCATTCACAAAATCCCATCCCATTGAGTAAAGGGGGCCGGGGGCGCTGAGGCCGCCCCTTCCCCTCACGCAGGGCCCGGGAAACCGACAGCTTGCAGGTGGGGGAGGGGGCTAGAGCTCGCCTGGGTCCCTAAGGTTGGGGTGCCAGGGTTCCGTGCTGGGTGGCAGTGAGGGGCGAGACGCCGATCCCGTTACTGGGTGGAGGGCTACATCCCCTGAGCTGGGGGCGGGGGAAGATGGTTCTGAGGGATGCTGGGGCGGGGGTGGGGGAGGGACCAATCTCTTCTCCCCCTCTCTCCCCCTTGGCTTCCTTTGGCTGGGGCCTGAGGGAGCAGCCTTGGTTTTTGTGAATGAAATGCTCTCTGGATGTGTCTTCGGTCGCCGATTTCTGACTTCCTCTGCCTCCATCTCCCTCTCGGCCTCTCTTTCTGGCCATTTCTGGTTCTCTCCCCGTTCCCTGCCCATCTCCCGTTGCTGGGTGACTCAGTGAGCTTTGCATCCGGTCTCATTCATAAATCCGGGAAGGGGTGGGGGGGAAAAGAGCCTGGGTTTCTCACCCAGCCTGTGGCCTGGACGACTGGGTGCGGAGGCAGTGTTGGGGGCACTGGAGCGCAGTTGATGGGCCCAGAGAAAATACATATGCGCAGGCAGCCAGCTGTGAGGGGGAATGCTGGGTGGGGCCCTGGGTATGTGCTGAGCGAGAAGGAGACAGGGTGGATAGGGGATGCACAGGAGGGGGAGGGGAAGTGGAAAACCAAGGCTATGGGGGTGGGGGTGGAAAGATGGGGAAAAGATGGGTATGGAGAGAAAAGGTAGACATAGAAAAGAAGGTAGACATAGGAGAAAAGAGATGGCATGAGGAAGAAAGTAGCCGTGGGGGAGAAGTAGACACGGGGGGAAGGTGTGTGTTGGTAGCTTAGGGTGCAGTGGATCTAGATGCGAGAGAGGAAGACGGAGGGGAGATGAGGGTTGGGGAAACATTCAGTGGGAGAGCAGGATTTGAATTCACTGACTGTCATCCCTGTCGCCCCCCCTCCAGGTACATGGTGCGGGTCCGAGCTGTGGTGATGGCCCGAGATGACTCCAGTGGGGGCTGGCTGCCTGTGGGGGGCGGGGGCCTCAGCCAGGTGAGCGTATGTCGGGTCCGAGGGGCCAGGCCCGAGGGGGGGGCCCGCCAGGGGCACTACGTCATCCACGGGGAGCGCCTCCGGGACCAGAAAGTGAGCCACCCTGGGGTGTGGGGGTAGGGCGGGGCCCTGGGGAGGCAGGGGAAGGGGGCTGGGCGTGCAGAGGACGGGCCAGGTTGTCTCCCAGCCTCGGAATCCAGCTGGGGTGTGGGATGGAGTTTGGAAGTGAATATCTGTCCGACGGATGAGAGTGGGGAATTTCAGGAATATTTGGGGTATTAAGCAGGGCCTGTCCGCTGCCATCTCCTGCTGGACTGTCACAGCAACCTCCTTACTGGGCCCCCTGCCCTGCTCCTGCTGCTGCCCTCCAACCCCAGTCTGTTCCACAGGGGCACTGCTAACACCCGACTCAGATCGTGCCCCTCCTCTGCTCAGAACCCTCCCGCGGCTCCACCTCGCTCAGAGATCCTCACCGCGAGGCCCTACACCAGCTGGCCCCTGTCTGCCCTAAGTATATGGAAGCATTTGGTGGGGGTCCATTCGAAAGTGTCAGTACAGTTGACAATCCTATATGTGGGTTCGCCAGGAATCGTGGGGCTGTCTGGTGCAATCTGGAAGGATAATGTTGAAGTTTCAACTGGAGATGTAGTCGAAAGATCTGGATTGTTTGAAAAGGCTTGGGGGAAGGACTGCATTTCAGAACAGGAGTTGGTAGAATGACGTGGGGGGATTTGAAATGGTGAGAAGGAATCTAGCGCTAGGCAAGGATGGGAGGGAACATCCAGGGTGTGGACTAGCAATTGAGGGGGTGGCCTGTGGAAGTTTAATAAGAATATTTTGGGGTATCGTTTCAAAAGATTATTGGGACATCAGAAGGGGATTAACAGTAATATTTTGAGGTGTCCAATAAAGTTTGGGGAGTACTATTGAGTCAGAAGGGGGAATGTTGGGTTATTGGAAAAGGGTTAACAGATTTTTGAGGAATTTGATAAGGTCTTAGTTTCCTACTGGGGTATCAGAGGAGGGTATTAGAAGAAGGAAGGGATCAAGGCATCAATTGGGGAAAATACTGGAGTATCAGAGGTGTGTTTAATAAAATTGGGGAGTTGTACTGGAGTGTCAATCAGGGTTCAGGGGTACACCGAGGATTGGGAAATGAGGTTTGTGGGATGCTGCAGTAGGAAGAGGAGTTAGGGGTGGAAGGGAAATCACAGGCACGGCTGGGTGGGGCGATCTGACTCTGCCCCCTCCTGCCCCTTAGACGACCTTGGAGTGTACCCTGAGGCCAGGCTTGGTGTACAACAAGGTGAACCCCATCTTCCACCACTGGAGCCTGGGTGAATGCAAGTTTGGGCTGACGTTTCAGAGTCCTGCAGAGGCCGATGAGTTCCAGAAGAGCCTGCTGGCAGCGCTGGCCGCGCTGGGTCGAGGTGAGTGGCACAGGTGGTGGCATTGGGGGCCGTGGGGTGGGGGGAGCAGAAGCTGGGCCCAGGGAACTCACTGTCTGCCTCTCTCCCTGCCCCAGGCTCACTCACCCCCTCCTCTTCCTCCTCCTCCTCCTCCCCTTCCCAGGACACCGCAGAGACCCCCTGCCCTCTGACGGTGAGTCTCCGGGATGCCTCTCTGCTGGGAGGGCAGGGGTTTTGTTCCTATTCCACGAACATTCTTGAGCACCTACCATGTAGCAGGTACCATGCCATGCGCTGGGGACACAAAATTGGGCCCAAACTGTTAGTGTCGATTCAATCCCAGTTATTCTAGTTTTTCTGTCCCGCCACGATTCACACATTGACTCCAGGGTACTCACTGAACACCTTCTGTGTAGCAGGCAGTGTTTCAGGCACGCAGGATACATCAATGAACAAAAAGTCCCTTTCCTTGTGGAGCTTCTATTCTAATGTGGAAAGGAAACAATTTTTTAAAAAAAGATAAATGATAAAAATGAATAAATATTAAAAGTAAATGCATGAACAAATTAATGACAACTCCATGCTTCCAGTTACTCAGGCTACAAACCTTGGGGCCACCCTTGACTCCCCTTATTTTTAATGTTTCTCATCTAATCTGTCAGCCAATATTGGTTCTACTCCCAAAACCATCAGAATGTGCTTCCAACCTGGTCCCATCCAATCTCATCTCCCACTGGACCATCTAACAGCTTCTCATTGTCAACTCCTTCCCTCCTGTCCCCTAGTGTCTTCCCCACACAGCAGCCAGAGGGACCCTATTGATGGCTGAATCAGATCATGCCCCTCCCCCACTTCGCACTCTCCCAGGGCTCCTGCTCACTCAGGGTAAAGGACAAAGTCCTCACGGTGGCACATAAGATCCCACGCCACCATCTGGCCCTGCGTTATTTTCCTGCTCACTCACTGTGCTCCAGCTACATTGGCCTCTTCTCTCCTACTCCAACAGGGCAAGCACATCCTGTCTCAGGGCCTTTGCACTGGCTGTTGTCTGGAACACCCTTCCCCAGATTTCCACAAGGCTCACTCCCTTATTTCTTTCAGGGTTTCACACAAATGTAACCTTCTTAGGGAGGCTCTCTCTGGGTAATCTATTTAAAATTGCAATCTCCCAATGCCCCTTGTCTGGTTCTAATTTTTCCCCAGCTTCTAAGATATTTTCCTCATTTCCTTTCTGAAAAGACAGTTTTCTTATCTATTAGTTTACTGTCCATCCTTCATGCTAGAGTGTCAGCTCCAGGAGGGCAAGGATCTTTTGTTGGTTTCTTGCTGCAACTCCAGTGTCTGAAACAGTGCCTGGCACACAGTAAATACGTGTTGAATAAATTGAATGAATGAATGCACAGAATGTTGGGTGCAATTTGGCACTTGCTGGCAACAGTGGGAGTTGCTGAGAACACCTGGAGGAACAAAACTGATTCTCTGGGCAGAAAGAGGAGGAATTCCAGGGTCGTGGGAGATGGAGGCAGGCCACAGAGTCCGGCGGACAGTTCCTGTCTGTTGAGCCCGCACTCAGGAAAGACGCCATGCTCTCCAAGCTCCATCTTGAATGCACACAATGGCCCGTGGGAGTCTGGCACGTCGTGGGTACTCAATGAATGTATATCGATGATGGTGAACAGATGAGGTAGGAATTATGCCCAAGTCACAGGAAGGAAACTGAGGGTCTGAGAAGTGATGTTTCAGCTAGTGTCAGGACAGAGCCCGGTTTGGATGGGACGGAGAGCTCTCTGGGTGGTGGAACTGCCCCACTGAAGGTGCGGCGGCGGGAATGAGGCAGGAGGCAGCTGGCTGGCCAAGGGAGACGATTTGATGTTCTGCAGGGTGGTGAGCTGAGCAGATAAGCAGAGGGGTCTCATAGTAGCAGTGACCATTTCCAGCTCTTCCTGTACTGCTGGCGCGTGTGTGCCCTGTGCAGTGGGTCCTAACCACATCCTGATGAATAGGTACTACTATGATCCCCATTTTACAGAGGAGGAAACAGGCTCAAAGAGGTGAGCTCACTTGCCGGAGGTCACACAACCAGTCAGTGGCAGACCCGGGTTTGAACCCAGGCCTGCCTGGCCGCAGAGCCCTCGCTCTCAGTGGGAGGGGGTCTGTGTGAGGGCATCGGCTGTGCCGGGGGTCCCCTGCGCTGAGGCCGCCAATCTCCCCCAGTCCCACGTGGACAGCGACTCCTCCTCCAGTCACAGCCGCCAGGAGACGCCTCCCGCCACCGCGGCCCCCATCATCACGATGGAGTCTGCTTCTGGCTTCGGGCCGACCTCGTCCCCCCAGCGCCGCCGCTCCTCCGCTCAGGTGCGACCTCTGCCCCCCAGCGGAAGTCTGGGCTCGGGGTGGAATGAGGCTGGGCGCTGGGGTCCTGAACGGGGCGGGAGCCGAGGCCCAGTGAGGGCGAGAAATACAGATCCCAGGGGATGGCTGACCTGTCTACTGAGCCGGGAAGCGGGGCGACCGTGCGGACAGATGAGGAGGTGTGGGGAGCTAGGGAGAGTCTTGGAGGCCTGGGCTTCTCAGAGGATTGGGGGGACTTCCTGTGTCTCCTGCCCTCTTGGAGCTTTTGAGGCGTTCTGAATTCCAGAGGAGTTTGGGGGATGGTTTGGACGATTCTCCGAGTATGTTAGAGGATGCTGGTCCTCATGGAAGGAGCCCTTCAGACTGCTTAATTCACGAGGGTGGGGGTGCGGGCTGGGAAGGCTCGCTGCCCAAGGGGATAAAAAGGAACCGAGGGCTGGACTCCTGCGTCCTGAGGGAGGAGGTGACTGGGGTCCAGAACTGGATCTGAAGGCAGAAGGGGCTGGCACCTGGGACTCCTGGATCTTGAGTGAGGACTGGGAGCCTTAAGCCACTGGGTCCTTAAGGTGTGGGCTAGAGGACAGCTCCTTGGGTCTTCCGAGACTGGCGTGGATTCTGGCAGGTGGTGGGGGAGTCACAGACCCCCGCTAACCTGATCTCCTTGTCCCTTCGTCCCCCAGAGCTACCCTCCGCTTCTACCGTTCACGGGGATTCCGGAGCCCTCAGAGCCCCTGGCCGGGGCAGGGGGCCCGGGCTGGGGCGGCCGCGGCTATGAGGATTACCGGCGCTCTGGGCCGCCGGCGCCCCTCGCCCTGTCCACCTGCGTCGTGCGCTTCGCCAAGACCGGCGCGTTGAGGGGCGCAGCCCTGGGGCCCCCAGCGGCACTACCTGCCCCTCTGACCGATGCTGCGCCTCCAGCGCCCCCGGCTCGCCCGCCCCCGGGCCCGGGCCCAGCCCCTGCGCCGGCCAAGGCCTCCCCGGAGGCGGAGGAGGCGGCGCGCTGCGTGCATTGCCGCGCGCTGTTCCGCCGCCGCGCTGACGGGCGTGGTGGCCGCTGCGCGGAGGCCCCGGACCCGGGTCGCATACTGGTGCGCCGTCTCAGCTGCCTGTGGTGCGCCGAGAGCTTGCTCTACCACTGCCTGTCGGACGCCGAGGGCGACTTCTCGGACCCCTGCGCCTGCGAGCCTGGCCACCCGCGCCCCGCCGCGCGCTGGGCCGCGCTGGCCGCGCTCTCCCTGGCCGTGCCCTGCCTCTGCTGCTACGCGCCCCTTCGCGCGTGCCACTGGGTCGCGGCGAGATGCGGCTGCGCCGGCTGCGGGGGTCGCCACGAGGAGGCTGCACGGTGAGGACGGCCTGGCGGGTCCCGTAGCCGGACCGAGGACCCAAAATGGAGGGTCCAGGACCCCGGACTCCATTCGGACCTAAAACCCAAACCTAGGCGCATCCGGAACTTGGAGCTTGCGTTTGGATTGAGAGATCCCAGATCTGGAACCTGGACCCCAAACCTAGGACTGAGAGACCCCAGGCCCAGCTCATTGGGATGTCTGTCCAAGAGGTCCCGGGCGTCCTGAGTTCTGGGGTTCCCCCGTCCGGCCTCCCCCCACTCCACCCCAGGAGGCTCCAGGCATCCCCAGACTGCACCTCGGAAGAGCCAGGAGCACACAGATCCCTGAGAGACACAGGGCCCTGAACCCTAACTTCAAGTTACCAACTCACATCCTGGTCACGCCTGGCACTATGGTCCTCAGATTCGGACCCCAGAATTAGGAGTTGCCGATACCTAACCCTGCCTGTATTCAATTACTCCCAGATCTTGAGACCACAGGACCCAGAATTATCCCCAGTTGGTCCCTGAATGTTCCCGTAAGACCTGGTGCACCCACATCGGAGATGTTTTTGTAGCCCCAGGAGTCCTGAGACACCAAACCCTCCTGGGTTTGAGATTTCATTATGTTCTGGAATCACCAGATACTGACCCCATGTCTACCCACTACTGAGTGCCCACAGACCCCCAAAACCTGGCCTCAGATTCAGAAACACTGAGGTCTAAAATGTCCAGGTAACCCCCAGATGTCCTAGGACCCCAGACTCTTGAGATGCTCTGAGTCCTTGTATATGCTCAAATGTGAGATGTTCTCTGCCCAAAATGACTTGGGAGACCCACCCCAGAGCCCCCCAGATCCAGATATTGGACACCAAAATGCTCTGGGAGCCGGGGACCGAAGACCTCTGTAGTCCCATCCCTCCTAAGCCAGTGTTCTCAGGAGCCTTGGATTTCATACATAGGACTCTGAGGTGCCTGGTATCCTCAGGTGTTCCACTGAAGGCCACCAACACCTCAGGGCCCAAGATACTGGTCTCACATCCTCAAATAGCCCTCTTCCAGTCCCCTCTGGTCCTGGATTTTGAGACCCAAAATATCCTGGAATCTTTGGCTTCCTTCTACCCATGGATCCCCAATTCCTTAAAAGTTGGGGGTCCAGCTCCCAGAGGATGGGTTGGCCATGGCAACCCAGACCTCTGACCCCTTGGCCCTGAGCCCTTGAGTGACCCCCAAGGTGCTTTAGGAGTACTGAATCCAAGACCCCAAGGTGCCATTGACCGCCCCCCAGATGCAGGATTCAAGCCCTACAATGTTGGGATTGTTCCTGATCCAAGACCTTGGTCCCTCCATACCAGAGACATTCAGATTCGAGGTGCCCCAGGACCCTAGCACTCTCAGATCCCAGATTTCTTTGACTCAAATCTCTCTAGCCTGATGAAGCCCCCCAGATGCCTCTACCCCTGATTCCCCAGGCCCCTTGTGTACATCCTCTGAGACATGCCACCCCTTGAATCCTGTGTCTGTAGGCCCCTGAGATCCCACGGTCCCAGACTCTTGAATTCTGGTCCCCAGGGCCTCAGCCCAAGCCTCTCAGCTATCCTCAGAATTACCCCTTTATCCACTATTTTGAACTCATATTCCTAGATTTTAGAACAGCTGGGAGTTCCCCCACTCCCACCTCTAGGACCCACCATTGCCACAGATAATTGTGCAGGCTGTTCACTAAGCAAAGGCAACAGCCAGGGGGTGAGTGGGGCTGGAACTCACACTGCAGTCTGCTGGCCAAGCTGGGCCCCCAGCAGGAGGCTGCGCAACTGCTCCTCTTGGGCTAGCTATGGCTCTGCTCAGACCCCCCCTGCCCCCCCCACCGCCCCCCAGTCCCTGGCCTTGCAGACCCTCCTCCACGCCCAACCTTGAGCCCTAGCCCCGGTCCAGGTCCCTCTTTTTATCTTCTGCCTCCCCATTAACCCCTTCTCTTCCACCTCCGAGTGGGATGTTGCTGCAGAAAGTTCGAGAGCCTGTTTCATGGCCTTCTTCTGGGCAAGGGGGATGCCACACTGTCTTTCCCCTAGGTGGAATGGGACCTCTTAGGTATATTCCCCTAAGTGGAATGGGAATGTACCTAAGGTCTGGTGTCCTGTATTGGGGGAGGGGTTCAAAGTCTTGGAGCAAGACAGTCTCAGCATTTGGGCTTGGGGCCTGCATCTGGCCCCCAAGCATTTGGAAATGTGCACTTCCCTTTCTTATTTACCCAGACGTGGACGGCCTTGTAGGGGTTCAAGGGATAGGTTTTCTTGTCACTTCTTTTAAATTATTAACTATTTATTACATCCGGAACCTGTGAGATTCAGCTCTCCCAACCAGACCCTGGGATGGGTGAGAGAAAAGGGGGTGGGGTGTCCCTCCCATCCCCACTCTGCCCAGCTCTCATCACTGTCAGACCCACCAGAGCTGAGGGTGGAGGGACTGGGGGCTGGGGCAGCCTGGGTCCCCCTCCCCCTCTCTGTGCCTCGGTCTCCCCCCTTCCGTGGTGGGCGGGGGGGAAGCTCCATTCTTAACCTACCTCGTTTTGGGGAGGGGTGGGACGGGGGGGCCAGAGTGCTGTACGGTGCTGTGGGACGCGGATGAAGCAGTGGGGGCTGGGGAAAGATTCCCCGGCGCCACATCCCAGCAGCGCCTCTCCCAGGTCTCCCAGTCCTGCTCCCTGCTGGTACCCACCTCTGATCCATGATTACCCTTCATTGCCCCCAAATCAGGGGTGCATGGAGGGTTGACCCTGGGACCCAGGAAGACCTCAGACCCTGGAGCCCCCAGGCCCAATTTCCCAGCTGCTTGCCCCTCAGATTGGATGCTTGGCCCCCAGACTTGGGGGAGGCACCCCAACATTTATCTTCCTGATCTTGATTCCAAGCCAGTCTGTGACCTCACTATTGTCAATGTCAGTGCAGGCTGAAATGGTGGGGGAGGATGGGGGCCAAAGACCCAGCCTTGTCACCGGGGGAGAGGGGCATGAGATCTGCTCCAAGAAATGTCTGTGACAAAGTCTCAGCCTGTGTTATTTATTTGTAGTGGCGTGCCCCATCCGCTCACCTTTCTGAACTGCCAGTTTTCTGCCTAAATTCTTGTTTCCCCTCCACATCCTTTAGTCCCAAGCAGACGGTCCAGCTGAGTTTTATATCCCTCAACAAGCACATATACTGAACACCCATCACGTGCCAGGCTCTGTTGTAGGCACTGAGAAAAAAGCAGTGAGCAGAACACACAAACATCCCTTCCCACAAAGAGCTTATCAATTTTATGGTGGGGGACACAATAAGTTAATGACTTCATATACTAGAAATGATATAAACTATAAAGAAAAAATAAAATGGGGATGGGGGATACAGGCAGTTTTGGCCAGAGTGGTCAGGCTAGGCCTTACACAGGAGCTGACAGTTGAATAAAGCCCTGAATGAGGTGAGCGAGTCCTGCGGATGTCTGCAGGGAAGAGCATTCCAAGGAAAGGGAACAGCCAGTGCAAGGCCCTGAGGCAGAAGTGTGTCTGGGAAGTCTGAGGAACATTGAGGAAGCTAGAGTGTCTGGCAGGGAGAAAGAAAAAAGAGTACTAGGAGGTGACAGGGCAGATCTGTGGGCTCATGGAAGCCATTGTATGGACTTTGATTTTTATGCTGAGGGAGATGGAGCCACAGGAAGGCTCCAAGCATGAGAGGGATGTGGCCTGATTCAGGTGTTCTCTGCTGCATGTAGGCAACAGACAGACTGGGGGTGGGGGCAGGCTAACGGTGACGAGGCTGCTGTGACCATCCAGGACAAGACAATGGTGGACAGGACGAGAGTGAGTGCAGTGGAGTGGGGAGAAGTCGGCACATACTGGCTCTGTTTTGAAGGTAGAGTCCACAGATTCACATATGGGGTTTGCTGTAAGGAGAGGAGACAAGGTTATAAGTCCAAGTTTTTGGACTGAGCAATCTTTTTTGTTTTTACATAGCTCCCAACAGTCGTTGAACCTGAGCAATTTTAAATGTTTTATTGAGGTCAACAAATGGTCCCTTGAGTGCCCTGCCTTGGAGTAATCAGGGCTCTTGAGAGACCCTATTAAAGGCAGGCTGTGTCCCTGAGGAAAAAACTCTGGCCCTCGGTTCTTCCCGGAGGCTCCCAGTCCACTCCCCCTCCCAGCAGAATTATCTAGGAACTGCTGGAAACCCGGATAGAGTAAGGAAGAGATTAGATCTGGAACCATTATTAACAACAGCAATAAAAGCAGCAGCAATAACAGAAGAAATAGATTCAGTGGTTAAAGAACATGGAATTTGGAATTAGATCTTTGAGTCCTGGCACCACCACCACTCTGTGACTTACCCTCTCTCAGCCTCGGTTTTCTCCTCTGTAAAATGGGGATAAGACACTTTAACCCAAAAGCACACACTAAATGCTTAATTTGTTAGTTGTTATTTTTAATTGAGTACCCTGTGTCTGCTAAGCACTTTTTACATACAGGACTCTAATCCTCACAAACAACTCCGAACAGGTAGGTCCCATTACTGTCCTCACACAGATGGGAAACAATTCGGCAGGAACACAGAGCTGATGAGTAGGGGAGTCAAACCCTAACCCTTGTTTGCCTGACTGCTAGGGTGCGATCTCGTAATAACTGTGGCGTATTGTACCTGCTCACTCCAAGGCCTAACGGGCACTTTGTGCTCGATGAGCGGGCCCTAGCTCTGGTGGGGAGCGGGTGTGAGGGGCGAGCGGGGATTCCTGGGTCCCTAACGTAATTCCAACCCTAAGGCAGAAAAGAGGAAGCGAGTTTCTGGATTTAGGGCAGAGTTGGGTGAACAACACTCCGCTTTAAGAGCAGAAGCAACTGAGGGAAGCTGAAAAAAAGGAAACAGAAGTTGCTTTTATGTCTCCATGGTAGCGACACCCGGTAGCTAGTCGTGACAGCGGGGACCTGAACGCACGTTCTGGAATTTACAGCGCCAGGGGGCGTTCCCAGACTCCCTACAGGTTACCCGTGGGGCGGTGCTGGCGGCCGTGGGGAGGGTTTTGCCTCCTCCTGCGCCAATTGGAGCCCGAAGCTCCCTCGCGAGAAGAGGCTGATTGGTCGGTGCCGCTACAATACTCTGCCCCGGGGAGGCTGCGCACGGCGCTCCAGGGGCGGGGCCTACCGCCAGCCGGCAGGGGGCGCGCACCGGCGCAGAGGAGACGCTTTCATGGAGGGGGCCGCGGTGGCCCGGGACCTGCAGGCTCTAGGGTAAGAGGGCGTGCGGTGTCGCTGGTGGGTGCAGGAAGGGCAGGTTTGCCCTCAGGACGCGGACGGGCGGGGACTCTCGCTGACCTCCCCGACCCCTACCACTGCCTCGGCCCCACCGCAGGTATGGGGGTTTCCCGGGGGCGGCGTCGCGGGGCACCTCGTGCCCAGACTTCAGGGCTCTATGCGGGCGGCTGGCGGCCGAGCTGGCGACTCTGGGCGCCCTGGAGCAGCAGCTAGAGGAGGGCGCTGAGGTGCTGAGCGCCGGCGACGGTACGTATGGGGCAGGAGAGTCGGCGGGATGGAGCCGCTGCTTTCGCCGCGCCCTGACGTCCTGCCCGCTGCAGGCCCGGACGCAGAGGAGGAATTTCTGCGACAGTTGGTGGGCCTGCTGCGGGAGTTGCACTGCCCGGATCGCGCGCTCTGCGGCGGAGACTGCGCCGCCGCGCTACGGGAGCCGGACGCGGGCCTGCGCCTGCTGCGTGAGCCGGGGGCTGGCCTGGGATGCGGTCGTGGGAGCGCCGAGGTTCCAGGAGGGCGGGGTCAGAATTTTAGGGCGGGCATAGGGCTCTGAGATGGGCGGGGCTACAAATTTGTGGGAGGGTCTGGTAGCTCAAGTGGTTTGGGCTAGGAGGTGGGCAGGTGGGCGGGAGTCAAATTCCAAGGAGGGGACACGATCTCGAGGTGGGGCTTATTCTGGAGGTGGAGCCAGGATTTCAGGTGGGCAGGAGTAAAAGGCCCTGTAGCTTTTTGATTATGGTAGCTAGAGTAGCAACCCTTGATTGCACCGCTCCCTTTTCCTACTTTTAGGTTTTCTTTGCTCGGAGCTCCAGGCTGCCCGCCTTTTGCGCCTGTACCCCTCGCTGGATCCCAGCCCTGTGTCTTCCCCTGGGGAAGGGGCAGAAGAGAAAGCTGGCATGGTCCAGGAACTGAGTCTTACCCTCCAAGCGCTGGGGCTGCCCAGACCTACACCGGGGACCCCTGCCAGCCGGCTGCTGCAGGAGTTGCATGCTAAGGTGAGAGTCAGAGCCCCTTCCCCACCGGGGCTGCTCCACTTTCCTTGGGTGGGGAGGCGTGGATCTTCTCTCCAAAGAAGTGCGGCAGGAGTGCCCCACCCACAGGCGTGGTTTTCTAGAGCTGCGAGTGCCATTCTCATTTCCATTGCCTAGTCCTGACGGCCATGGAGAACCGGGGTCCACGGGGACCTGGGGTCCACAAGGACTCCATCCTGTTTCTACTGCAGTTGGCCTGACTTCTTCTCCCATCAGATCTCAGAACTGCTGCCTTCCTTGCCCCCAGGGTCCATGCAGCCCCTCCTCAGCTGTGCTCTAGATGCACCCAGATGGGTAAGACTGTGTGTGGCGGGATGTGAACAGTGTCCTCATCCAGAGATGGGAGTGAGAGGGACTGCTGGCATGACAAAGACTTTTTCTCCCAGGAAGCATTGGAGTCTCTGTCCCAAAGCCTGAGAGATCAGTACTGCTCCCGCCGCTGCCTCCTTCTCAAGCGCCTTGACCTCACAACATCTGCTTTCCACTGGAGTGATCGGGCAGAGGTGTGGGCAGAGGACCTTGGCAGGAGCAGGGAGGCCCAGTTGTCGGGGCGACAGCTGCAGGGAGGAGGAATGGGGGCCAGAAATATTACCCTCTTGGAAGTTCTGAAGCTTAGGCAATTTTACAATCTTGTGAGTTTGGGGGCTTCTAGAATCTCAGGGCTCCCAGGGCATCGTAGAATTCCCAGCTCTAAGCTGGGAGTGTTTTCAGAGCTTTCCCCCTTCTTTAGAGATGTCGGCAGTGAGGCCCTGAGTGGGGAAGAGATGCTTCGAAGATGACAGATGTCACCCGGGGAGGGCTCTTGGGCACCTTCTCCATGCCACCCCTTCCCCCCACCAGGCCCAAGGAGAAGCCATGAAGGCAGTGCTGATCCCGATTCGAGAGGTTCTGACCCCAGAATCAGATGTCTCCGTTGCGCACGTCCTCGCTGCCCGAGCCGACCTGTCGCGTCTCGTCCCAGCCACCAGCGTGGCTGCCCGCCGAGGGACCTGCTGTGCTATCAACAAGGTGGGCACCTGGGTGAGGAAGGGCCCTGGCATCCTTGGCCGTCAAATTCCCCTTCAGCCTTTGCTCAGGTCCAAGCTTGTCCTGCCCCACCTGGGTTCCTGGTCTCTGGACTCACCGCCTGTAATCCAGCCACTTGATATGGTAGCTAGAAGGACCTTTGTCACAAAAAAATGTGACCTTGTACCTTGTACTTTCTTAGCTCAGAACCCTCTCACAGTCCCCCAGTGGCTTGAAAACAAAGACCAGCTATTTATGGAGCCCTGTCCACCTCTCCACCTTAGCCTTAAAATCCTTCCCCACAACCTCACCCTATTTATTGTATTATTTGTTTTTTAAAAACCATTTTAAAAAACCAGAAATACCCTTGTTTAAATGATTAGGTATCTGGCCTCATACCTCTGTAAGTAGTCTTAATAACACTTACGTGAATGCATATTAGGGAGTAAAGTCTAGGACGGCAAAAAAGTAAGGCAAAATATAAGAAAAAAGTGATTTACTTTAAGGAAATATAGTAAGTAAATAATATTACAGGTGGTGCCCAAATGATGGATATTTAGAAGAAAACACTAGTTTGCTGAGAATGTTGTACAAACCCCCATATATGAAATAGACAAAGTTGGGGCACTCTTGTCAGTGCTGGGTGGGGACTTGGACCTCTGCCGTCACCCTCCCCTTCATTTCCCTCTTGCTGAGGCCCTTGGAACCCAGTTCAAAAGCTTCGTGCTTTTATCTTCCGCCGATTCAGTGCTCTGTGCCCCAGCCACTATACCTAAATAGTCAACAGTGGCCCTTCCTTCTTCAACGTCACGCTGTTGTTCCCTTTGCTTTCTGGCCTCCTTGTCCAAGATTTTTTTTTTTCTCTGAAATTCAAGTCTAATCACCTCTCAGGTGCTTATGGGCAATGTGCCAGACCGGGGGGGCCGCCCAAATGAGCTGGAGGCCCCCATGCCCAGCTGGCGAGACCGGAGAGAAGACGGGGGTGGGCAGAGGCCGGGCCGCCAGTATCGGGGCCACAAGAAGAAGAAGAAGTGAAGTGGGACCGCTGGCAGGGGGCTCCTCCACGAGATGCTAATGCCAGTGGTAAGCCCTGGGGAGCCAGTTCGAGGCTTTCCCTTGGTACTTGGCACCAAAGCCCCCTATCCCCTGTTCCTGAGGCCCCTAATGTCCTAGCCCCATCCACCACTCCACACCAAGAACTGAGTTTTCTGAAAAATAAATTTAATTTATGACAGCCGTAGGACATATCTCTGCAGGGCCAGGTTGGGGTGCTTCGGTCTGGCGGGCGGTGTGGGTCTCTGCTCCCTGGGTCTGGACAGGCCCCTGTTGCTCTGACCTGCAAAGTCCTTTGCTCTTAGCAATACATCTGTCCCTTCCTGGGGGCGTGGGGAAGGGTATATTCAGGCGTTGGACGAACGTTTGTGAGGTGTCCACACATGCCAGCCGTGTTCCAGGCACCAGCGACACAGCAGGGAAAGACAGAGACAGAAATCCCCGCTGTCCTGGAGCTGACATTCCTGGTGAGGAAAGGCAGACATTCAAAGGGGGACCGGGTCAGATGTCTAGTTTGTCAAATGGGGAAAGTTCTGTGAAGAAAAATAAAGCAGAGAAGCAGGATGGGGACTGTGGGGGGGGGGGGACTGTGTCTTTGAGTATGGTCAGGGAAGCCTCATGGAGAAGGGGCCACTTGAGCAAAGTCCCAAAGAGGGAGACAGGTGGGCCTCAGGAAGAGCATTCCAGGCAGAGGGAACAGCCAGTGCAAAGGCCCTGAGGTAGGAGTATTTTGGGCATGTTCAGGAAACATCAAGACCAGTGTAACTGAAGTAAGGCGAGTAAGGAGGTGAGGGCTGGGAGGTGAGGTCAGAGAGGTGTTGGGGCGGATCGTGTGGGGCTTTGTGGGCCACAGTGAGGACTCTTGCTTTTACCCTGATGAGGGGAGCCACAAGAGGGCTCCGAGCAGAGGAGAGCTGTGATCTGACTTAGGGATTCGCAGGCTCCTGTTCCGTCCCCTTCCCAGCCTTCTCTCCTGTCTCTGGAAGCCCAGAGTCTGGAACTACCTGCTCTTTTGAGTCTTGCCTCCAGTCCTTGGCATCTCTGCCCCCTGGAGCCAGCAGCTTAACCTCTCCGAGCCTCAGTCTCCTTGTATGTGAAATAGAAGTTTAGGGAGGTGGTGAGATCATCCCTGAGTCTAAATATAACCAACACAGAGCTACATAGATACTTGGTGTAGGAAAAGGGAAGTATGATCAGTACCCACTGTGATGCAAGAGAAGAAAATAACTTTCAGGGTAAGAGATGATGGGCATGTCACCAAAGACAGCGTGAACAGGGAGGGAGCAGTGCCTTTGGGAGCCCTGCTGGAGGCTCAGGGCAGGACTTGGGACTGGCTGGGGGAAGGGAGGAGACTGAAGTGGTGTCTAAGAATCCAGCTTGGAGGAGGAGGTGGATGACGGGGCCATCGCTGGGCAGGGGACCTGGAAGGAGGAAGACATCGGGTGATTCGGGGAACATACTATATCTAGAAGACATTTCACCACCAGGAGCATGGCCTCACCCAGACTGTGGTAAATGGATGAATGAATGTCCCCTTGGACTCAGTTTTTAATCTAATCTGAGAGTCCCTGCCCTTGAATAGCAGAATTTATGCCACTGACATTTATTGTAGTTCCTGATGTATTTGGCCTTATTGTTGCCATCTTATTGGTTTTTTTTCTCCCTAAATCCTTTTTTCCGTCCTACTAGTGGTTAACCTCCTTTTTTCCCCCAACACATTAAAATCTGTATTTTTCCATCAACATTAATAATGAACTAGTACCTGTACCCTCCCACCCTAGCAATAGAAGACTCATGCATATTTTTACTTTTCTGCTGTTCCCTGCATCTGTCTGGTTTCCCCAGGCAAAATGACCCGTCTCCCCCATATCCAACTGGGTAGGGAGCAGTTCCTTCTCACCATCTCTGATTCCCAGGAAGGGTGTGGGGCCTCCGTCTGGGTCCAGGCATGGCGAAGGCGGCACCCAGTCTCAGGTTCCAGGGATAGTGTGTCGGAGAGATTTTCCTCGGAGCCTGTTTGTGGAGTGGTGGATGGAAGGGATGTGGGTATAATGGGAAGGGCCTCATGACCTTGGACTTAATTCCTGTCCACCAGGTTCCTCCCCAGGACTGCTCTGCTCGGGGTCTTACCACAGCTGGCAGGGGGACTTGGTGTGGGCGGGACTGGGGCTCCTGGGGGGCCCGCATCGCTCTTGGCCCCCGGCCTCCTCTTACACTCCACCTTCACTTGGTCTCTGCAGTGTTTGTGGCAACACAGCCCACAGTCTGGGGGAAGGCAGTGGTTCATGGCCAGAGGCCCAATCTGTGCCCTCCATTCTTCCCACTCGTCGATGCCCCACTCACCCCGACAGCGGTAGCCTTGCTTGGTGACGCCCCAGAGCTGGGAAGAGAAAGCAGAATAGGTTACCCAGCCTAGGGGAGGGAGGGCTATGGATTGGAGGAGGAGGGGCAGAAGTATGGAAGCTACCCAGGTTCTGAAAATTCTCTAGGCTAGAGATTTAACTGGAATTAAAAGAATTATAATGTCTCAAGTTTGAAGAATCATCTGGGATATTAGAATTAGGGGAAATTAGACGTTAATGTAAATTCTTGGCTAGGCGTGATGCTCACATCTGTAAACCCAGCATTTAAGGAGGCTGAAGCAGGAGGATCTCTTGAGGTCAGGAGTTCGAGACTAGTCTGAGTAATATAATGAGACCTCGTCTCTACAAAAAAATTTTTAAAACTAGCCAGGCATGGTGGTGCACGCCTGTAGTCCCAGCTACTCAGGAGGCTGAGATGAGTGGATCTCTTGAACCCAGGAGTTCAGGGCTACGGTGGGCTATAATTGTGCCACTGCACTCCAACCTGGGTGACACAGCGAGACTCTGTCTCTGAAAAGGAATTAAAAGAGAAAAATATAAAATGTAAATTTTACAGGCAGGGATTGTGTCTGTTGTGTTCCTGCCGTATCTCCAGAGCTTAGAACTGCCAGGCACAAAGGTGCTCAGTAAATATTTAGCGAGTGAATAAATGAATTGGGAAGTAATCCAAGGCTTGTGAATTAGTCTCGGTTTGGAGACTGAGAGATTTGTCTGTTACCCAGAGTTTGAGGATACTTTGAATTTGGAACTTATCCAGTGTTTGAGTGGTCTGGAGTCTAGAGATTTGGAGACCGATTCTGTTTGGACATAATCTACCCAGGTTTGTAGGTTATCTGGAGTTTTGGATCTTGTCCACTGTTTGGCAACTGTCCCAGGTGGAGCTGGCCTGGGATCTGGGGACTAGCCGGGATGTGGGCACTGTCGAGGGTTTGGAGACTATCCAGGATGTAGGGCGTATCGGTGTTTAGGGTTTATATGAAATGTGGGGATTATCTGAGGCTGGAGGATTTTCTGGAGTCTGGGGACTGTGCCCCAGGGCAGGGCTGGTTTTCGGAGCCCGGCCGTGAGGAATTGGGGCTCTGCAGGGGAGGGGGCCCCCGGGGCAGAGTGCTCACGAAGCCGCTGCAGCTGTCACAGAAGGTGGGCTTGCGGAGGGTGACCTCATGGAAGGTGTGCAGGAAGGCCAGGCCCAGCTTGGAGCAGATGGCGCTGGCCCGGAGCAGGTACCCCGTCAGCTCCTCTCTGCTGAAGGAGCCTCTCCTGGGGGCAGAGACGGAGCCTCAGCACACCCGGGCCCTGCCTCCCCCAGACCCGGGCGTCCAGGCAACCCCCGTGTCCTCGTCTTCGGGGACCCAGGAGTCAGGACCGCTTACCCCTGGCGGGGAGGTGGGTGAAGCCCATGGCAGGCGAAGGGGAAGCTGCCCGAGAGCCGCTCAAAGTCCTCCTGAGAGATGGTTCCTCGGCCTTCAGGGTCATAATTCTTGAATACGGACTGGGGAGCAGCGAGGGGAGGCAGAACGCGGCCCGGTGAGCGAGGTGCGAGCCCCACGGCCTCGCAGCCCCTCTGCAGGGCCCTGCAGGTGTCTCCCGCCTGGCCCCCCGCAGCCAGGCCACTGTCCCCGCCTTACCTCCACCAGCTGCTCCACATGCCGACCCAGGGTGACCCTGTCCGGCTTGGGTGTCACACCAGGGGCCCACTCTACCACCAGAGGTGCTTTGAAGGGGGAGGGTGGCTGGGGCAGGGACAGAGGGGCACAGTTAGTCAGCGCAGAGACTTGGGCAGTGGAGGGGGAGGAGGGTCAGAGGTCAGGGGCCAGGTCTCACCAGACTCTTGGGACAGCGGGGCTCGCGGGCGTAAGAAAGCTCGTAGATCTCATCCTCCGTGTAGAAGAGATCCAAGGAAAGCTGGGCGCGGGCAGGGGCGTCACAGACCCCTCTTTGTCTCCGTCCTCCTGCCTGCAGCCTGCATCCCTGCCTGGACCGCCACTCTCTGTCCTCTTGCCAGAGCCCCTTTTCTCTGGGGACCCCTAAGATCTCTCCCACCACACCCCCCTCGCACTCCACACTGTGCCTTTCCCCGTCTAGAAATGCCATCTTCTCGCTCCCTATTTAAAATCGCAGCCCTGTTACTTGCCCATTGTTTTCCCTACAGCAGTTCTGGGCTAAGAGTGGCCATGTTTCCACACTTTGTTTCAACAGCCATCGTTTTTCTGACTTGCTCCCTGCGGTGTCCCCAGCAGCGGTGTCCCCAGCAGCGGGGAGTGCCGGGCTCACAGCAGGTGCTCAAGAAACATTTGGGCTGGTGGCCCTTCAGAAGCAGCAGAGCAGAGGGCCGTGAGCACCCACCATCCTAGGGCAGGGCCAGCTTCGCAGGCCAGCCCCCCCTGGCTGAATGCTCTGCTGTCACCATACTGAAATTTTTAATAACTTTGAACAAGGAGGCCCATGTTTTCATTTTGCGCTGGACCCTGCCAATTATGTAGCTGGTTCTGTCACAGCAAGTCAACTTTCCAGTTTTAAACTACATGGCCCTTAGCATCCCAGACTGGATTCAAACACTGAGGGAAAGTGTAGCCAGATCCCGCACCCACGGTCCCAAGCCAGCTCGGAGGCTGGGCTGCCAGCAGTAAAATCCTAGTTTTACTGCTTGTGGGACAGTGGGCAAGTGACCTCGCCTTCCTGGGCCTCAGTTTCCCAATCCATAGAATGGGCACAATAAGGGTCCCTGCCTCATAGGTTTGTAAGGTAGAATGAAGTGATCTGTGGAGAGGGTTTTTTGGTTTTTTTTAACACAGTGCCTGGGACATAGTAAATGATCAATAACTATTACTAGCTTTTGGCTTAGATTTCTGGATATGTCAAAGCTTGGAAGTTTGGACTATTGGCATGAGAAGCTCAGAAGCTTGGCATTCAGGAGTGTGAAAGCCCCAGACAATCCCAGAGCTCAGATCAATGGATACTTGAGTTGCTGGAGGAATCAAGGGGCATCATTTACATAGCTCACACTGTGCTCTAGAGACTGTTTGAAGTACTTTATATGAATTATATTATTGGTTGATTCTCCTCAACCATCCTCCAAAGTGGGTCGTATTATCACTCCCATTTTGCAGATAAAGAAACTGAGGCCAAGGGGCGAAGTGACTTGCCTAAGATCACACAGCTAGAAAAAAAACCTAGAAGCTCTGGCTTCAGAGCCTGTGCACGGCAAGCATGATTCTACCCTGGTCCTGCAGACCCTCACCCGCCCAGAACCCTAAATCTCAGTCTCCTCGCTCAGCCCCTGGGAGCCCAGCCTGGGCAGGGCAGGCAGCTCACCGTGAGAAGATGCAGCAGGTCCTCGTTGGCACTGCAGGGCGGCTGCTGCCCCTGCAGGGCTGCCAGCTCCTGCAGCCGCAGGTAGAGGCTGTTCAGCTTGGGTAGGTGCAGACGGCCATCAGGCAACCGGTCAGGCTGTGCCTCGTGCAGGGACACCAGGTCCTTGAGGTGCACACCCAGCACTGGCAGCCGGAAGCCCGTGCAGCCAGCCCAAGTGCGGCGGTAGCGGGCATAGTTGTTGTGGGAGGCGAGGAGCTCGGTCAGTTCCAGCAGGGCCTGCGTGGGAGGGACATGTCATAGGGGCATGTTATCGGGAGGGCCGTTCTGTTCCCTGAGGCCCCTGGAGGGGAGTGTCCTAGCAGCCTCCTGTGTGCGCTCCAGACCCCCAGGGGCCCAGTGGCATTTGGGACACCACCATTGTCCCTCCATATCCCACATTGGTCTCAGCATCTTCCCCAAACTGCTCTTCCTTTTGGGTCCCCATCTCAGAGAGGCCCCACTATCCGCCATTCCCAGGCTAGATAGAGCAATTTCTCAAAAACCTGAGAAATCACGTGTCATCGCTCCTAAACCTTCCCTAGCTCCCCATTGCCCTCTGGATAAAGCCCAAGCACCTTAGCCCAGCTGCTGAGGCTCAATGGGATCTTCCCCTGGGCATCTCCAGCCTAACTTCCTGCCTCTTCCTGACCTCAGCCACACGCCAGATTCAAGAATGACTCACTCTTCTCGGACCACCTCCCAGGACATCTCCAACCCATGCTCCTCCCTCGGGTGGCACACATGTTGGCATCTTTGGGTGTGTGTCTCAGCTCCCCACCTGGTCTGCAAGTTTGTTAGCATCTGCCTCCCTCACACCCCGCTCAGGACCAGGCACGCTGAGAGTGGAGAGGGGTCAGCCCGTGGGTGGACGGATGACAAGGGGGAAGAAGGCAGACAGAGCCTGGAGGTCTGTGGGGTTTGGAGGAGCAAGTCCTCGGGTGGTTCCCGGGCTCCTGGGCAGGGATGGGCAGGGGTTGGGGAATTTAAGGGTGGGAGTTCAGGTCAGCTGATCACTTGGACTTTGGGAGAGGGTAGTGGGGATTCACCTTGGTGCTGTCAGGGCTCAGGTGGGTGTGGGAGTCCTTGAGTCTGGAGATGGCACTATGACACAGGCCCCCCGTGACCGCCATCAGAGTGTTGAAATTCTGCAGCTGGTGGAGACTCTAGGAAGGGAGGCGGCGCATAGGGATGGCAGGTATTGTAGGACAGGCAAGTCGGAAGTTCAGATGAGAACATCCCGGGTGACTTGGGGTCCAAGGCATGTGCAGCAGTGGCCCGGTGTGGGCATCAGACGGGAGACAGAAGGGGGGTGTGTCCAGAAGGAGTGGCCACAAGCAGGCATGTGGGCCTCACAGGGGCATCAGATTGTTATCTGGGGCTCTGGGGCGGGAGGTCGGGCAGGTGACAGGCTCATGGGAGGTTAGAAAATGTGGGAAACAGGCGGGTATGGGAGGAGGACAGATTTGGGGAGTAGACAGGTGTGTGTCAGACAGGTGTCAGGGTGTCAGGCACCTGGGGGTCAGACTGCTCTGAGAGTCAGACAGGTGAGGGGAGACAAGAAGGCGTGGGCTCTGGGCAGGAGTTGGGAGCCAGGCAGAGGTGAATGGAGCCAGAGAGGTATGCAGGGGTCAGACAGATGCGAGACAGCTGTGGGGTCACGTGGGCATCAGGGGAATTCCCTCACCCTCCCTTTTCCCAAATTCGAAGGGCAGAGGTCGCTGTGGAGAGAGGGGGGCTTGGGAGGAATGGAGGATGCTCAAACCAAGGAGGCCCCTGGGGACAACAGAACCCCCAGGCCTAGGAGCGGGCAGGAGGAAGCAGAGCGAGGGAAGCAGCCAGGGGAGGGCGTGGTCTGCGTGGAAATGCACAAGGGGGTGCGGCCACGGTGGGGGCCGAGGGCTTCCCTTTTCCCCAGAAGGGAGGGAGGGTATCCGGAGGGGGAGGGGAGGTGCGTGACACAGGGGGACGGGGAAGGGAGGAGCGGGCGTGACGGGGACGGGTGCGGTCACTGTCTGAAGGGGGCGCTGGGGCCTGGGGCCGGAAGGCTTGGCGGAGGCAAAGGTGGGGCACGGGAGGGACGCTTTCCTTGTCCTGAGAATAGAACATTCGGGCACAGGCTTGGGAGACCGGGCCGGGAGGGACTTCGTTAACAGCCACGTCTAGGGCCAAGGCAGACTGGATGCGGTGATGTCAAGGCCAAGGAAGAAGTCACAGTCCGGGGTTAGAACACCCGGACCGTGGCCTCGGGGGCGGGGCCGGGAGACGCGTGACGTCACCGCCGGGATGGCCGGGCTGGGGTGGCCCTGCAGGGGCGGGGGCCTGGGAGAGCGAGGTCAGGTAACTCTCGCAGCGCCGCGGGGCTGACCCCGAAAGCCGGCGGGAAGGCGGGCGGGCTTTACCTGTGCCACCTGGATGAACTTGTCCAGCACCTGCGCGCGCTGTGCGGGGCCGGGACGGCTGAGCACCATGACCTGCACCCAGCGGGACACGCTGTTGCTGAGGCCCACGGAACCCTCCAGGGCCGGGCAGCCCTGCACCGAGCCGTGCAGAACGTAGCTCCGCAGGTCCTGCGGCTGGGGGTCAGGTGGCCGTCAGGGTGGGCGGTGGTGCTCAGGCCCTGCCCCTCACGCCATCTCCAAGCAGTCACGACCTCTGAAGTCCTAGCCTGGTCTAGTCTGAGTGACCTTTGTCATCTGTCACCCCCCCCCCAGGCTGCCACATGTCCCTGACTTCCCCAGGGTCCTCTCCCATCTGAGGAAAAATGTTTAAATAAAGCCAGACCCTATTCTGAGCACTTTATCATATTAACTAATTTAATCCTCATAACTCTAAGAGGTTTGTACTGCTATTATTATTCCCATTTTAGAGATGAGGCAATTGAGGCACAGAGAGGACAAGTAATTTGCTCAGGGTCACACAGGTGTGCATCTGTATGCTCTTACTGTATACCTGACTGGTATACAATCAGCAAAGGGGAGGATGGAGAAGAGGATTGAAATCAGCTTCTATTTGTTCTTCTGAAAGAGCGTGTATTCCACACACATCTACTGTACCACGTATGTTCGTATATTTACATATATACACACGCAATCAGGAAATTTCCACATTAAGGAACCAGATCCCCAGCTTCCCTGGAAACTCTGACGTCAAGATGGCAAAAGCTAACACATACATATACCGAAGCACATGAAATTGACATTTGGGTAGGTAAAATACGGAAATTTCAAATTGTTCCACCAAATAGCATTTGCTCGGGACCAGGCACTGTTCCTATGAGGCATGAACTGTTAATATCCCCTTTTTACAGATGAGGAAACTGAGGCACGGTGAATTTAAATGCTTCCTCCATAAATGAATAAGTGATCAAATATCCCGAGCACTTACTAAGTGCCAGGCACTGCAGTAAGCATTTTAACACAGATACAGTCGTTTAATTCCCCAACTATCCAATGAAGTGTTGTGGCCTTCATTTTACAAATGAGTCCCAGAGAGGTTGAGAAACTAGTTCAAAGTGACACAGGTAAGAAGGGGCTGATGGGATTTGAACCCAGGGGCTCTGTGCTCAGCCAGCTTCATTCATTTTCCTAGACCCTCTAGCACCCAGGTTTGACAGTTTAAGAGTTTGAGGTCCCTGCTTGGATGCCCATGCAGGGGTCCTCTCAGTCTTGCCTGGCCCCCACCAGGCCCCACCCCACCCTACATCTATCCTCTGCTTGGGGCGGGGTGGGGAGGGGGGTCCTCACCGTGATAGCCTGGAAGGACCGGAACTCCAGGTAAGTGAGGTGCTGAGCCAGCTCCCCCGTCTCCAAGTGGTCGAAAAGCAGGGACACTTTGCGCTTTTTGCCCAGGCCTGGGCTGCTCATGGGGGGCGGGGGCCCGGGGCCACCTGGGCTCAGGCTGGGGGCGAGAGGGGCAGGGTATTGGAGTGGCTCCAAGCTGAGGGTTTGGGGGTGTGGAGGGAGATGGCAGAATGCGGGTAGAGCAGGAGAGGAGGCTTGGTGCTGACTCACTGGTTGGAAGAATCTCCCAGGCTCCTCTGGGCCAAGTTGCCCTCCTGGGCCACAGTGGCCCAGAAACGACCTATGGCTTCTTCTAGCTGGGGCTCCTGGTGTACGGCCTCTGGGTGTTGAGTCATCCAGTACCTGAGAGTGGTTTAGAGATGGTGAGATGAAGCTGGGGGTGGGGGTCTCTACAAGGGGTGCCTTGGGCTGAGGAATCTCTAGGTGCTAAGCTAGGGGGTCTCTAACGGTGTGCAGGGGGTCTCTGGAAGGTGCAGGTTTATTTGGAGGGGCACCAGACAGGTGAGATCTCTGGAGTAGGATGGGGGTCTCTTAACACAGGCCGGGGGGATCTCTTGGAAGTGGGACTGATGGGAAGCAGGACAGTGGGGGGGTCTCTAGACTGGGGGCTCCTGGGGGTGAAATTTTGAGGGGGACAGGGCGGGGAGGTCTTAGGACTAGGCTGGGGTATGTGGGAGGGGGCGTTTTAGGGGTCAGAGCTGGAGGTCTTTGGAAACCAGCTGGGAGAAGGGCCATGAGATCTGGTTGGGGGTCTCTAGGAAGTGGGGGTTCTAAGGAATAGAACTGGGAGGGTTTTAGGGACCAAGCCAGAGGTGTCTCAGAAGTGGGATTTTGGGGAGTGGGGGTGGGTCTGTGGGAACTGGGCTGGGGAGTCTCAGATACTTTTTGGGGGATAGCAGGATGGGAGTCTTGGGTCATGGGAGTAGAAATCTTGGCCCCGCCCTACCTGACCAGGTGACAGATCTGCAGCCGCCTCAGCTCCTGTGTGTCCTCTGCAGCCTTCTGGTACTTGGTTCTGGTCAAGGCTCTGTTATCCAGCATCCAGACCTGCCTGCTCACCCTGTCCCCGTCTCCCACGCTCTCATGTCCCCACCTTCCACCCTCTGCCTACAGGCCATGGTCCTGGGAGGATATAAGGTCAGCAGACGGGCAGCAAGGTCGGCGGAAGGCAGCACCCAGCTGTGCATGGCCAGCACCATGTTAAGAATGTGGTCCCCATGGCGCAGGCTGCCAGCTGAGTCTAGGGGCGGGAGGAGGGGGACCCTGCGTCAGAATGGGCCCTGGGCAACGGACAGCACAGCGTCCAGAGCTGGTTGGACTGCCTGGTTCCACACACCCCTGCTCCCATTTTGTACCCCCAAAGCTTGGGGCCGGGAGAAGTGGGTGCCTGGCCTGGCGTTAGGACTGAGAGGCTGCGGGGAGGTGGCCGCTCACCGAAGGACTGGATGCATTTCTCCAGCATCTCCTCCTCACTGCAGCCGCCCTCGCTCAGCACGCCCAGGTTCATGGAGGCCATGACCTTGCTGATTTCCCGGGGGCTGGGGCACGTCTTGTGGCGGCGGGCTTGTCGGGGCCGGCCCCCTGCCCCTGTCTTCCCCGTGCATTCCTGGTGGGACTTCCTGTGGGTACCCGCCACCCTGAATCATGGGAGCCCCTTCCTTCGGGCAGACCCCCAGAATGCCTCTTCGCCCCAGTGCCCCGAGGCACCCTGGGAGAAGCTTCCTAAAGGCAAAGCCCCAGGGTTACTCCCGACCTACCGCGGACTTATGCGAGAAGCCCCCAGGAATATTCCAGATCTCCCGGGGAAAATCAGAAGAACCTTCTCCTACAAGTAAACTCCCAGGGTTACTCCTGCTCCCTTCAGGGGATTAGAGGAAAAGGGCCTGAAGACCACTATGAATCCCGCAGGGAATCGCAGGAGAAGACCCCCGCCCTCTGGGACTCCTAAGGACCCTCCAGGTAATCATAAGAACTTCCTCCCCCAGGCATTGCCCCCAGATTCCTCTTGACTGTTTGGTCCCAAGGCATCATGGAAGACACTTCCTGTTGGCAGATCCCCGGGATTACCCCTGACCTCCCAGGGGATCATGGCAGAAGACCCCTGGGATCACTTCTCTTCCCCTCACCCCAGGGGAAGCCCAGGAGGCTCTGTCTTCAGGCCGACCCCTCAGAATTCCCCTTTGGCCTCCAACACCCGCCCTGCACGCCCCCCCTCCAGCCTCCTGAGATCAGGCTCCTGCACACAGACCCCTGGGAGTCTCTCTCCCCTTCTCCCCACCTTCACCCCTGCTAAGGAGACAGCACCCCCCAAGCTAGCCCTTCAGCAGGACCTGGAGTCTTAGCCTCCAGCCTGGGTCCCTAGATTAGGACCCTGGAGAGGAAATGCCAGTGCAAAGTGGCCTCCCCAGGGCTCCTCACAGGTAGGGGTCCGTGGGGCTGAGGCAGCTTCAGGGAAAGTTTAAAAATAACCCTCACTCTGCCCCGTGCCTCCTGTTCCAGTTGGGGAAAGAGGGTAATGGAGAGGAGGGAGGGTGGGAGGCAGGACGGAGCAGAATCCGGGCTCCAGACAGAGCTGCTGGCTGTGTGACTTTGTGATAGTCAATTTCTCTGGGCCTCAGTTTCCTCATAGGAAAACTCATGGACCTTCCTCAAAAATGCTCAGCAATGGACTTAGTTCGCCCAGGCCGTTAGGTGACCAGAGTGGGAGAGTTGAACTTGAGGTGCAGAGTGAGAAAGCGATCAGCAGACCCAAGCTAGGCCTGTGGCATGGGGTGGGGGGGGACCCGGGCACACCCCAAGGGCTCAGTACACGGGTACTGAGTGCTGTTGAATAAGCCTGGCGTCACCGAGCGCTGACTGTGCCAGGCCGAGGGGCGCGCTGCATCTAGACCAGTGGTTCCCACAGCTGGGTCCTCAGCCAGTACCAACAGCATCACCTGGGAACTTGATTTAAATACAAATTCTCAGACCCCCCCCCCCCAGACTGACAAAATCAGAAACTTCAGGGGTAAGTCCAGTAACCTGTGTTTTACAATCCCTCCGGGTGGTTCTGATGCAAGCTCAAGTTTGAGAACCACTGGCCTAGACTGTCTTGCTGAGCACTTAAAGGCCCCTCCGAGGTAGGGTCTGTGATTATTCTATTGACAGAAACAGACACAGAGCAGTTGAGTGACTTACCTAAGGTCACACAGCCAGGAAATGAGGCAGCCAGGACTCCACCACTAAACTGCTGAGCATTATGGGGAAGGGATCCCTTTGCACATTGGAGTCATGCTGGGGGAGGCTGGAGGAGCTACCCAGGCTGGGGAGCCCACCACCATCCGCCCCTGCGGGGACAGAGGGCAAGCTTGCCCGGGAGACAGAAACTCATTCCAGAACCTGCTGGCACAGCCAGTTCTAGGCCCCTCTCTGCAGACCGGCAGCCCCGGTAGTGTCTGGGGCAGCCAGGGTGGTTTACGAGGCAGGGGAGCCGCCTTGCCCTCTCCTGGGGCAGGGCCCTGCAGGAGCCCGGGGTTTCCAGTCCAGAGGACAGGCCATTGTGACGGGGAGCCAGGAAGACCCCAGGGAGGACAGGGACATTCAGCATAGGGAGCTGGGTGTGTGTGTGGGGGGGCGGGGTGTGGCAAGGAGGAGCTCAAACTCCAGAGAGAGAGAAAGGACAAGGTACAGGAACAGATGCTCCGATGCAAGCAGCAGCGCAGCCCCAGCTGGCTCTGGCCTCCCTGAAGCATCCTGCCACCTGGCACCCCCGTGCTGGCTCCTGGAGGAGCCAGCCCTCCTCCCCCTCGTCAGTATCTCCCCCGGCCTGCCCTCACAGTGGGAGGCCCAGGGGCTGCTAGGGAGGGTCCTCTCACCTCTTGCTGTCTTTCCTGTTCATGCTTCCTGGGGGGACGAAGGTGGGGGTCTTGCAAAGAACACGGCTCAGCTCCTCCCCCCTCGCCAAGGCTCCAGCTTCTCAGCCCCTAGGGAGCTGGGGCCTCCGCAGTGCTTGGGAAGGAAAGAGGAACTGCCCCTCCCCACCCACCCCTAGGCCAGGGGGAAGGAAGAGGCTGGGGAGAGACCAGAGGCCCCCTCCCCCACTCGGGGATCCCTTCGGGCTGAGGTTTCCGGTGCTGCCGGCCCCCACCCCCTGGCCCAGCGGGCTCGCTCTATCTCCCTCATCTTTCTGTCTCGGGGACTGTCACTGTCACACTTCAGTAAAAGCAGGTTTAGAAAAAAAAAACGTGTGACTAATATTTATGTAAAAACACACACACTCAAAAGAAAAGTCTGTTATTTCTCCGAGGACATATTCATGCATATACTGCACGAAAGTTTGAATGGAAACTCACAAGACATGTTTGGTATATTTCTTTTTATGTTTCTTTTATCCCGAGTTTACTTTTAAGTACCATTTGTACCCTGGAAAACATTTCCACTTTATTACTTTACTGTAACAAATCTTTATGTAGCACCTACTGTGTACCACACGCAGCTCTATGGGCTTTAAAAATATTAACTCATTGAATCCTCGCACAACCTAGCGTTATCTTATTACAAAAACGTTACAGGTGGAGGTAAACCCTCCCCATCCCCGTCCCCTCTTAGGCAGGGGTGACCAATACGACATCCAAACTGCTGTGTGTGCATTTACGTAGATCACCTAACTCCGTGCTCACAGAAACAGACTTTCCTTTTGAGTTTGTGTGTTTTTATCTTTTACCTAAATGTGTCATGCTTGACTTTTTTTTACATTGAAATACAAAAAAGAGCACAAATCATTAAGTACTTTGATGAATTGTCACCAACTGTGCAAACCCATGTGACATTCATACAAATCAAGAAACATCATCATTTTCCATAAACCCCCCATTCCCCCTGCTAGCACTGACGCAAGTTATTAATATGACCAGCCTTAAGTCTAACAGGGTAGTTTCGTCTCATTTTGAGCTGTATATAAATGGACTCATCTACTGTGTCCCCCTTGTTTCGTTCCACCTTGTGTCTTTGCAATTCCTCCGTGTTATTGTGTTTGGCTATGGTTTATTCCTTCTGGTTGCGGTGTAGTCTTCCATTGGCTGACGGTTCCATGATCTATCGATTGATTTTCCTATCATGGACATTTGAGTCGTTTCCAATCTGGGGCTGTTGCGAATAACGCTGCTGTGTGTTAGGTTTACTTTGAGTGGAAACCCGAAAAATTTCATAAAGGCTGTGAAACAAAAGCTGTAAATCTAACTTTGACCACAGGCAACTGCAGCCAGGCCAGCTTTCCTATCCCCCCTGACAAGGACCAAGCTACCCCAAAAAACCTTCTATAAAACCCAAGGCTTTCCCCACCCTCAGGGTGGAAGCTCTTTGGCCTCCACCCATCTGCACCCAGATGCTCAAAATAAAACAGCATTTTACTACACACCAGACTTCGTGTGTCTCCCTCTCAGATCTGGACCTAACACTGTGACTATCTGAGCACCTGACTTTTGCTAGACATAAAGTGTGCGCTTTTGTAGGGTAGGACCCAGGAGTGGAATAAATGGGTCATAGTTGTTGGAATGATTCCGCCAAACCTCATGTGTTAGTCAATTCAATGAAACCGTGCTTTCAGAAGTATATTTTTGCACCTTTCTTTTTTCACTAAAAGAAGTCACCATGGATATTTTTTTTTCCCATGCTGAAACATTTAGACAAGGGCAGAGCCCATTCTTTTTAGTTTTTCCATCATGTGACATACCATAATTTCAGACCCTCTCTCTTCCTGCCTCTTGGCCCTCGTCTCCCACAGTCTCAAGTGGCCTGCTACATGACGGCCGTCTCTCCCGTGTAGCGCCTGCATCTCCAAGATGCGACTTAACCCTCCTGGCTAAGCCTAGGCCTTGTAGCATGGGACTGTCTCGAGGCTCTGGGGACCTGGAAAAACCTCAGGGAAGAAGGTCAGAAAAGGCCCTGGCACTTGTCTATACTGTACCCATGTGGCCTTAACGGCCCTCAGGTGGTTAATGCATGCAATCAACATCGATGACCACAAGGGGAGAGATTTTCTGAGTCAAACCACAGAACCTCATAAGGCAGAAAAACGATGCATTTGATAACATGCAAATACGAGTTTTCTTTTAGAGGATGCCATGGGACAAATATCAGATGACAGACGGGGAAAAGGTATTTGCAATGTGTAAAATCAATGAGAAATTAACATCTGGAATGTAAAAGGAACAGCCGCAAATGAGGAGGAAAAAGAAAAAACCCAGTAACCCTGATAGAAAAGTGGGCAGAGTTTGAAGAGCAGGTAACAAGGAGCCCCAACACTCTGACAGGCACCTGAGAAGGTGCTAGAAGGTATTGGAACTGATCGAGAAAATGCAAATTAAAACAGCAGAGAGTCATCCCAGATAGGCCTGGCAAAAATTAGAAGTTGGAAAACGCCACGTGGGGGTTGGGGATGTGGGGAACTCTCATGCACTGACAGTGGGCAGCTGTCCCCAGGGCTGTCCAGGAGTCCCACGAAGCCACCACAGCCACGGAGCAGGCGTCCATGGAGCAACATGGGTAGGTCTTAAAACACATAATGATGACTGACAAAAATAAGAAACACCATCAATGTCTTATGGTATAATGTCCAATGACACAGAATAATTTTACATTATATATAACATTTGAAGGAAAAACAATATTTAATATACAATTATGTATTATATAATGTATAATAGATATAACATGTAATTGTATTGTGCCGTATAATTATATTAGCCTAAGTATATAATTATACAATTATGTATTATATAATGTTGAATTATATAATTCAATAATATACCAAATTATGTGCTATTTATCATAATTATATTAACACATTAATATTTAACTATGTAATACCTAGAAATCTACTACACATTGAATAACATTTTATATGTAATTTTGTTGAACTATATGATATTGTTTGATATAACTTAATACATATCATTATATGGTGGGGGTTTTTTTTTCTTTCTTTCTTTTTTTTTTTTATTTTTGAGGCAGAATCTTGATTTGTTGCCCAGGCTAGAGTGCCGTGGCGTCATCACAGCTCACTGCAGCCTCAAACTCCTGAGCTCAAGCGATCCTCCTGCCTCAACCTCCTGAGTAGCTGGGACTACAGGTGCCAGCTACCACACATGGCTAATTTTTCTATTTTTGCTAGAGACAGGGTCTCGCTCTTGCTCAGGCTGGTCTCCAACTCCTGAGCTCAAGCGATCCTCCCACCTCAGCCTCCCAAAGTGCTAGGATTACAGGCGTGAGCCACTGTGGCTGGCCCATTACATGTTAATAATAATAATTTTAATAGATCCCTGTATCTATTAAAATAGAGTTACCATGTGGCAGGCTCTAATGGATTTCCTCTTGTTATCTTTCCCATGACCCCAGTAGGCAGGGACTATTCCTAATTAGCCCAGTTGACAGATGAGGAAACTGAGGCCTGAAGTCACGCAGTTGCCTGCCTGTCAGGGAGGCCCTGGTGTGTGTGGCACCCTGAACTGGGCCTCCAGACCCCACCTGTTTTAGGGAACTGCAGAGGTGCTCCTACCTGAGCTCCCCAAAGCCCTTGGGGAGCCAGATAGTCCTCACCACCCAGGAGCAGGAAGGCATTGGTTACTGGGCTCCATGCTCCCCAACTTACAAAGCCAGGGCGGGCGCTCATCTGCGTAAAGGGGTGGTTCAGTTGGCCCCTGGGTTGAGGAATGATTAGAACCCCAGGGGTGGGGTCTGGCTCTGGGGAAGTGGGTTTTTGTTATCATCAGGAGATTTTATGCAAATATTAAGACAGTAAAGCGTAACAGTTAAGAACCCTAGCTCTGGGTTCAAATCCCCCACTCTGCCTCTGTGTGACCTTGGGCAAGTCACTCTACCTCTCTGTGCTCAGCTTTCTTCATCTGTAAAATGGGCGCTGTAAGAGTACTCATAAGGTTGCTGTGAGGACTACATGATTTATTTGAGTAGTGTCCTTAGAACCACACATGGTAGGGACCACACATTTTTGTTTTTTCCTCTAAACAACGTGAATAATAGCAAGATTGTCATGAGAACTAAGCGAGATGTAACATAATAGATCTTAGCTCAGCACCTGAAATGCAACAGGTGCACAAAAGACATCAGCTATGGCTATTATTCCAGCCCCATCAGGCGGTTTTTAATAATGATAATAAAAACGTCAACACTTACATAACATTGAAAAGGCACTGCCACTATTTTAAGCGCAGTAAATAAATTATCTCATTTAACTCAACAATCCTGTGAGGCGGGTACTATTACTATTCCCCTTCCCAGATGGGCAAACTGAGGCATGGAGAAGCTAAGAAACTTGTCCGAGGTAACCCGAGGGAGTGGCAAGGCTGGGATTCAGGTCCAGACGATCTGGCTCAGAGTCCTTGTTCTTAACCACTATGTGTGGTGCTTTTTAAAGTCGAGAGACCTGGTGCGCATCGCCGCTCCGGGGTGTGATACCCCAGCAAGAGCTTCCCCATTCAGAGCCTCAGTCTGCCCTCTGTGAAATGGGAGAATGACGGCACTTGGGGGTGGAGAAAGCTCAGCCACCTTCTAGACACTCCCCCTCCCATCCCAGCCCCTGCCACGCACACCTCAATCCAAGGGTTGGTCTGTGGGCGGGGCTCCGGCTAAGGGGCGTGGCCTCGGCGTCCTGGCCCAATGGGAGCTGAGGGGCGGGGACCCCCGCTCTCATCTCTGTCCCGCGCGCGTGTCCTCCTCGCAGTTCCATCTACCTCGCGGGTGCGTCCGGCGTCCCTAGAGGTCTCCGACCCCAGCCCGCCCCCAGCCCACCCGCCCGGCCTGCAGCCCCCCGCCCCTATTTCCCGACCGTAGCCCCGGCCCCTCGGGCCTCGACAGCATGGGTGACGCAGAAGGCGAGGACGAGGTCCAGTTCCTGCGGACGGTGCGTATCTCTGGGTTACGGGGCTCTGGGGCTATCTCGCGGGTCTCTCTGAGTGTCTCTCTGTCTCTGAATGTCTCTGTCCTGCTCGCTGGTGGTCTCTGAGACTCGAAGTCTCTTCCTTTGTCACTTTGAGTGACTGTCACTCTGTCTCTTTTAGTCTCCTCCACATTTCTCACCACAGAGAATGGGCAGGATTGGGGACTACAGAATGGGGAGGGGATTTCGGCCGCCATCTCTTCTGACTTTAGCGATGTGGCAAGAGGGGCCACTGAGAGAACACCCCCTCCCACCGTGCTGGAAGCAGGCACTTGGGGAAGGTGGTTCTAGTTCCTGGGCTTAATTTAGCCATCCCCCACCCCCACCGCAGCCCTAATTCTCTTCTGGCTCCAGACTCTGACCTATTTAAATTCTTGGGAAGGGGGCTGGGGTGGGCCGGAGAACACAATTCCTTTCAGCTCCCAGACCTTGAAGTGCTCCTGTGAGTCCCTCGGGCTCTGGGTCTTTCTTTCCCCCTTGGTTTTGGGGAGGAGGATTGACTACGGCTGCGAGTGGTCTCTTAGGGTCTCTGGTTGGTGTCTCCCCCTATCTGTCTCTTTGGGCTGTCTCTATGTCTCTGTCTCTCCATCTATGTCTCCCTGTCTCTGTCTCTGTCTTTGTCCCTTGGCTTCAGGCATGTGGGTTTCGCCGTCTCTCCGGAGAGCTGGACATTTGGGTTGTCTCCCCGCATCTCTGATCTCCAGCTGGGGGCAGGGAAGGGAATTGTAACAACAGGTGTCCCTCCCAGAATAGCCTGCTTTTCTGGGGCCTGGGCAGGGGACAGGGAGGGGACAGGAGGGAGGAGGGGCTACCATCTCCCAGTCCTTCCCACCTTCCCCTCCCAGTGGCTTCGCAGGGTGTGGGGGTGTGGGTATGGGAGGGGACGTCCTCTCCTCTGGGCTAGGTCTGCTGACCCCGCACTAGCCCCTCTCCCCCCCCTCTCCGGCCCTGGGGCCTTGCAGGAAATGCTGACACAGCATTCTGGCCCCAGAATAGGACCCTGGTGAGCTGGGTCGGGTTTCCTGGGAGGGAAGGACCAACAGCTGTGGCTGGTGGTGAAGGATGGGGACAGCTGGAAGGGGACTAGCTTCAGCCCAGACTCTCGCCCCAGCCCCAGCCCCTTAGCAGACACCATGGATTGGGCCCTCCCCTCTTCAGTCCTAATAAGACCAGGGCCATGGCCACCAGCCCCTGAGCAGTCACTCTGTGCCAGGCCCTGTGCCCAGGGCCTCAGCCTCCTGAGGCATCTAATTATATCCTCACTGCCCTATCTTCTGAGGTAGGGCCCTATCTTTATCTCCCTGGGAGATTTGAGGGAAACCAAGGCCTGAGTGGTGAAATCACTCACCCAAGGTCAAGGCCAGGAAGTGGCATCTCTAGATACCCCTGGGGCTCAGCGCTTCTGCTTCACCAGAGAAAAACTGGGCCCAGACTTGCCAAGGAAGCCAGTGTCAGGGTTCCAGAGGCCTGGCCCTGGCCTCTCTTGGCCCCAGACTTGGTCTGGTTTTCTGAATATTATTGAGGTCATGTGGTGGTTTTCTCCAGCTTTTTGGGTGACATCCCGCCAGTAAGAAATGTATTTTATATTGCAACCCAGCAATGCACATATGCACATATGCATGACATAATAAAAAAATCAACTTTATTGAGGCGTAATTGACATGCAATAAACTATACCCATTTTAGGTGTTACAGTTCAATGAGTTTTGACAAATTGTACACACTCAGGTAACCACCAGCATGATCGAGGCACAGGACATGTCCTTTACTCCCAAAGTCCCCTCTTGCTCTTTGTAGTAATTGCCACAGTCACCTGCTTTATGTGACGACCGATTCCATCAGACACTTCTAGTGTTTCATATGCAATGTTTGCTCGCTCGTCTTTCTTCTTTTGCTCAGTGTAACATATTTTGACACTCATCCGTGTAGAGTATATTAAGAGTTCGGTCCTTTTTGTTCCTGAGTAGTATTCCATCATGTGACTGTACCGCAATCTGTTTAACCATTCACCTGCTGATGGACATTTGGGCTGTCTCCAGTTTTTGCTATTACAGACAACCCCTGTGACCATTCACATGCCTATTTTTAACCAAAACTCGTTTCATAAATTGTAGATAGCCCCTAAAGCATGACGGGCGTGTTCCTGCTATTTTCTGTTCTCGCTCTATTTTATTTCATTTTTTAAACATGGTGGCCATGGCTCCCCCAAACTGATTTCATTTCCTTTTGGTGGGTGTCGACCCCTGGTCTGCCCAGTTTGGGCTTTCTCAAAGCCTGGCTCAGGCGGGGACCTCCTGGGGACTGATTAACAGTGCAGAGTCCCTGCTGATCACAGAGCCACTGAACCAGGCTCTTGGCGGTGGAGGGGACCGGAGCAGCAAGGAAGCTGCTCTTTTATCCAGACTCCTCCCACGCCCTTCCTTCATTCGGATGCAGGAAAAGTTGGAGCATCATCAGTGGTGTCGTGACTGGGTGTCATGACCCTGTCTCTGCTTTATGACCTGACTTTGCCCACGTGCTTGCTTCCTAACTTTGGGCAAGTGATTTTTTATTTTTCTCTCTGAGCCTCGATTTCTTCATCTGGAAAATGGGGACAAAAATACATACAGTAAAGATTCAAGATACTGCCATGCAAGTATCTCTCTGAGCCCATCTTCTCCCTCTTTGCCCCTCAATTGTCCCGCCACCACCCTGTCTCCCTTGCTGTTCCTCCAACACTCCCTCCAGCCACAGGGCTTCGCACAGGCTGCCCCTCTTCCTGGAACATTCTTCCCCTGATTCCTTGTCATTATGTGGACAAGGCTCAGCTCAAATGTCACCTCCTTGGTGTCATCTCTCGGCTGTCACTTCACCCCCCTCACTGATGTCATCCCTACCGCCAAAGCCACTCTCTTACATCACCCTGGGGTATTTTTTCCATAACACCTATCACTGACATTAAAATTATATACTTATTCACCTGTTTATTGCCTGTCTTTGCCCCAGAATGTCAGCTCCCCAGGGCAGGGCAGGGACTGTGGTCTGTGTCGTTCACTGCTCTGTATCCAGTGCCTAGAACAGTGCCTGGCACATCACAGATGCTCAGTGTCTGTTAAATGAACGGAAAGCCTCAGAGCATAAGGCCTGGTAGCCAGTAAGTGCTTAATAAATGCAAGCTATATGATTATTGTGAATACACAAGTGCCCACCACGTGCCAGGGTGTCAGGGCTGGGGGTCACAGAAAGGAGCAGTCCTGGGGGCTCCTGCCATTGGGTCATGCCTCTCTCCCTCCTGCCACTCCCAGACTGCGTGGACAGACCGAGGGCTGCCTTTGTGGGTCGAAGCCCAGGATGGGAACATGTCTGTGTGATATGCTTTGGAAGGCTGGAGGCTGTGTGACCTCAGGCAGGACAGCAACCTTCTTGAAGCTGTTTCCTGCACCGTACAAAGGAATAACCACTGCCTTGCTCAGTGGTTAAGAGCCAGAGTCTCCATCACATTTGACTGGGACTCCTATCAGTAGAAATGTTGAGCTCCTGCCCCATGTACACTTGTATTAGTTATAAACGTTAGATAAGGGCTGCCATAATAATATATTAAGAGGTGGTCTAGTGTTCTAAGAGTGTGGTGTATAGAGCCGCAACACTGGGATTCAAATCCCAGCCATGCCATATACTGGCTGTGTGACCTTGGGCAAGTCACTTCACCTCTCTGGGCCTCAGTTTCCTCTCATTTATATAACAGGACTTACCTCCTAGGATTGTTGTGAGGATTAAGTGAATTAATACATCTCAAGTTCTTGGAAGGAGCCCCAGCGCACAGAAAATACTTTTATTTTATTTAAAATTTTAATTTATAATCTTGAGGCCGGGTGTGGTGACTCGCGCCTGTAATCCTAGCACTCTGGGAGGCCGAGGTGGAAGGATCGCTTGAGCCCCAGAGTTTGAGGTCACAGTGAGCTGTGATGATGCCACTGCACTCTAGCTGGGGGTGACAGAGCGAGACTCTGTCAAAAAATAAATACATGAAATAAATAAAATTTTAATTTAATTTATTTTGTAAAATTTTAATTTATAATCTTGAAATAATTTCCAACGTACAGAAAAGTTGCAAGATTAGTTCAAGGAAGTCCCGTGCAGCTTTGTTTTCCCCAAATGTTAAGATTTTGCTACGTGTGCTTTATCTTTTTTTCTCTCTCGCTCCTTCCATATTCTTTTCCCTGAACTGTTGGAGAATAAACTGAATATGTGATCCCCTCAAACTCTAAATACTTCAACATGTGTTTCCTAACAAACAAGGGCAGTCTCTCCCTGAACCACAGCATAGTTATGAAAATCAGAAAATTCAGTGTGGATTTGAAACCGTGATGTAATTCACAGTCCTTACTGGGCTTTGCGTCATTGTCTCCATACTGTGCCTTATGGCATCTGCCCTCCACCCGGGATCCAGTCTGGGCCCTCCTTTTGCATTCAGGTGTCATTAGAAAGTGCCCTATAAATAAATATAAAAATAGCACTCTATTATTAAAACAACACGCAAAAGAGAGAACTTAGAGAAAGATGAGCTTAAAAAGCAATTTCGCTTGCTTTTGAAGGAGGGTATTCATGTTTTCCACCCTCCAGTGGATCACCTTGCAGGAGGCCGCTGGAGCCAGCTGGACTCGGGTTCAAATCCCAGCTCCTCCCGTTACCAACCGTGTGGCCTTGGCCAATCCATGTCCCTCTTTGAGCCTCAGTGTCCCCATTTTAAAATGGGAATGACCCAGGCTCCTATCTCATGGGGATGTTAGGAGTAGGTGGTAGAGGGCTCAGCTCTGCCCCTGGCTGGTGCGGGTGGGTATTATTCGTCGCTGTCTTTTTCACAGGGACAAGGGTGGGGGCGGTGGCCTGTGGTATGTCTCTGGTGTCCGGGCCAGGCCCCACCTGAGACCCTTAACCCCTCGGTCCCCGCAGGACGACGAGGTGGTCCTGCAGTGCAGCGCCACCGTGCTCAAGGAGCAGCTCAAGCTCTGCCTGGCCGCCGAGGGCTTCGGCAACCGCCTCTGCTTCCTGGAGCCCACCAGCAACGCCCAGGTCCGCGCGGGACGGAGGCGGCTGGGGAAGGGGGCCCAAAGAGGGGTCTGGGAGTCTGAAGGGGGGTGCTGACCGGAGGGAAAGTGGGGCGGGGGCTAAGAGAAAGGGACCGGGGTCTGAGGTAGGTAGGGGTGCAGGTCCGAGAATAGAGGGGCAGGGGTCTGGAGAGAGCCCCTGCCTGGGGCAGCCCTGTGCACAGGGAGGTGTGGGAGGCCAGGGTGGGGCCGCTGATCCAGAGCTTTCCTCGGCAGGTGTCTGGGAGCCCCGAAAGCCTTGGGTCCAAGAGGCAGGTGCCGGAGAGTCTAGAAGGAGGGGCTGGGGGCGGGGTCTCGGGAGGGAAGAGCAGGGGTCAGAGGGAGGGGCCGGAAGGGGGCGGGGCTTAGGACCTTGCGTCCAATCAGGAGGGACCTGGTTGTTTTAGCGGGAGGGCATAGGGCATCTGGCGGGGGTGGGCGCTGGAAGGTCCTAGACAGCAGGGGACTGAGGGAAGGCGACCCCAGGGTCTGAGGCTTGGGGTTCTAAGGGTGGGGGGCAGGGGCGGCAGAGGGCCTTGGGTCCAAGGTAAGCGGCTTGGAGGGTCAGGGGACCCTAGAAAGGGGCTGACTGTGGAGGGGCCTGGGGGCTGAGGGCTGAGAGGAGACCTGGGGGGTTGGGGACGTGGAGTCTGAGGGGGGAGGAGGGCTCCGGCTCTGAGTGAGAGGGGTCTGAGGGGCAGAGTCTCGAGTCCCTTGAAGGGGAGGGTGTCTAGGGTCGGAGGTGACGGGGGTGGGAGACCGAGGAGGGAGGCATGTCAGGCCTTCCAGCGTCTGCAAAGCGTTCACGGGTGTTTCAGGGCAAAGGCAGGAACTGGGAGTGTCTGACGGTGGAGGCAGGAGGGCGCTTCTCTGGGGACTGGAGAGGTCTGGGGCTGCCTGCAGGGGAGGGCACGGAGCAGGAGCTGCCTGTCGTGGAGCAGGCTCGGTGTGTCAGAGCTGGGAGGCCCAGGGCTGAGGCTTCCTGTGAGACTGGGTGGGACGTGGGGACTCGAACGGCGAAGGTGGTGTGGAAGCTTCTGTGGAGTCTGGAAGGGGCTTAGTGTTTGAGGGAGGAGGCACAGGAGAGGTTTCCTGTGACTTTCGTGCCGATTCAGTGTGTCTGAGGGGGGTGGCAGAGGCCAGGGGCTTCTTGTGGCGTTGGGGCGGGTCCAGGTGTCTCAGGGGTGTGGGGAGGGGGTGTGCCAGGGAATAGTGCTGGGGGTCTTCAGGCCCCCCCTCACATCTCCCCACCCAGAATGTGCCCCCCGATCTGGCCATCTGCTGCTTCGTCCTGGAGCAGTCCCTGTCCGTCCGAGCCCTGCAGGAGATGCTGGCCAACACGGTGGAGGCCGGTGTGGAGGTGAGGCTCCCACCAGGGGCGGGTGCGGAGGCAGGGGAGGTGCAAGGATCTGGGGTCGTTCACCATCTGCTCTTCTTCCTCTCTCTGCCCCGCCCCACAGGCCCTCAATTTGGATAAGTGGGTAGGTCTGGCCTTGGGTGTCACCTGTTCTTCCAACCTCGTGACCCCCGGCCCGTCTCTCAGGCCCACATCCTGCACACGGGGGCTGGGGTCCTCCCCACCCCGGTTGTCAGGGGCTGTGGAGCCCAGAACAGGCCAGGCAGGCAGGAAGGAAGCGGTGGGGGCTCAGCCCCCCGCCTGCACCTTTCTCCTCCTTGCCATCCTCTCCCCGACCCTGATCCCAGCTCCTCTCCGCATGGGACCGCTCCCCTCACCTCCCTATCCCAAGCGTGGGTCCCCTCCACTCCAGGAGTGGGTCCGCCATGTGATCACTTGGCCCCATCACATGGCCCCCAGAGCATGGGCGTGTGACAGCGGAGATGGGAGGCATGATGCCATCACGCAGTCGGATGTGCCCCACCCCCACGACCAAGTGTCCTTGTGCTTGGGAGGGGTGGTCACCTCATCACTATGGGCGGTGTTCACATATTGAGCGACTGCTAGGACTGTACTGGGGCACACCGGCTGCAGCTCAGCTGTGTTGGGACAGGTTGAGCAGGGGACACTGACGTCCATGGAATGAACACGAGACACTCGGGCTTCCTCAGTGTCCCCAGGAACCTGGAAGATGGGTTTATCCTCCCTGAGTGATTTTGGGGCCTGACCAACACAGTGAAGGAGGCAGGGAGGACAGAGTGGGCTTCTCAGAGACACAGTCCCTGCTTCCATGGACAGGGAAACTGAGGCAGAGAATCTGTTGAGTGCCCGAGCTGAGGCTTCCTCACCTCCAGCACCAGCCATGATATTTTATGGGAAGCATATCCCCACCTGTGACTAGGCCAGACCTCATGGGGGTCTCGAGAGTCTGGGGGGGATCTGTGCTTATTCTGTGCCCTCCTTCCCCCCGCAGTCATCCCAGGGCGGGGGACACAGGACGCTCCTGTACGGCCATGCCATCCTGCTCCGGCATGCACACAGCCGCATGGTGAGTGCATGGAAGAGGGGCTGTGGGCAGGGGCAGGGCGTGCAGTGCCTGGCAGAGGAGTGCTGACCTCCCCCTACAACCCTAGTACCTGAGCTGCCTCACCACCTCCCGCTCCCTGACTGACAAGCTGGCCTTCGACGTGGGACTACAGGAGGATGCCACAGGTGCAGGGGCTGGAGGGGCAGGGCTGTGATGGGGACCTGGAGGTAGTCCAGGGACAGACCTGAGACTGCCCTGGGGGCAGAGATGAGGGCTTTGGGCTGGAGAGTCTGGGCACATTCTGGACGGGGAGACTTGGGCAAGCATGCGGGGTGGGGGTTCTAGGCAGAGAGTCCGAGGGTGGGAATGGGGACCTGTTAGGCAGAGAGCTGGTGGCAGCAATAGAATTATTGCCAAGGGCCTGGGATGCTCAGTGGCTGGGGATCCCGCCCCCGCCCACAGGAGAGGCCTGCTGGTGGACCATGCACCCCGCCTCCAAGCAGAGGTCCGAAGGAGAAAAGGTCCGCGTAGGTGATGACCTCATCCTTGTCAGTGTCTCCTCGGAGCGCTACCTGGTGAGCAGTCCCACCCTCATCTCGGCTCCTACTGCCCCCAGGGCTGGGGGTGCACGGGATGGCCCCATCTTCTCATCACTGATTTGTCTAGCTGTCCTCCCACCCCCAAGGTCCTGACTCCCAATTTCCAGTTTCCTGACCTCTGACATCCAATTTTCTGATTTCTGATCCCCCGTTTCTGACTCTATCTTGGTTTCCTGATCTATGACTTCTGATTTTCTGTCTCCTGTCTGCTGGTTTCCTGGCATCCACCTCTGATTTCTGGCCTCCAATTCTGGGACTCTTGCCTACCCCTCCCCCCTCCCAATGGTCTCTGACCACCACATCCCACCTGCCCCCAGCACCTGTCGACAGCCAGCGGGGAGCTCCAGGTCGATGCCTCCTTCATGCAGACACTGTGGAACATGAACCCCATCTGCTCTCGCTGCGAAGAGGGTGAGGGCCCAGACTTTTGCTGCCTAAGCTGAGACCCCCAAACAGACCCTGAATGTTCCTCTCAGGCTTGCCCGAACTGAGCCTTGGAACCTTAGATCCCAAACCTAGATCTCCAAATTAGGGCCCTCACACTAAGATCTCCAACTGACCCCAAATCCAGAACCCCAGAGCTCAGACCTCCAAGCCCAAAACCCAATATCAGACTCCCAGACTCAGACACCAAAGTATTAAGTCCCAAAATCTCACATGTCAAGCTCAGATCCTAGAGGTCAGACCCCTAAACTCAGATCCAAAGCTTAGAACATTAAATTTAGAGTTTACACCTCAGACAATAAGCACAGACTGAGACCTCAGACTCCCAAGACCAGATCCCCAAATTAAAACCTCAGGTCCCCAAACCAGGACCCCTAATTCAGACCCCAAACTTCAGCCCATCAGCCTCAGACTTCCAAAATTTAACTTCAAATCTCAAAAAAATGAAACCCCCGAAATCAAATTCCCAGTTCAGATCCCCATGCTAAGACTCCAAAGCATGACCCCAAAACTCTGACCCCAACTCTCACACCCAAAACTTCTGGTCCTAAATCAGACCCAAATTGAGACTCAAACCTCAGACAGTGTTTGATCTCAGACCCATTAACTTCTAACTACAAAGCTTAGATCTCACCTAACTCGTACCCCAAGCTCAGACTTCCAAACAATAACCATAAGATTATAACCCCAGACCCCCAAACCTCAGATTCCAGCTTCCGACCTCCAAAATCAATAATCAGAATTCAGGCCCTGACCCCAGAATCCAACCTCAGACCCAACCATCACTCCTCTAAACCCAGATCCCAAACCTCAAGTCCTGGAACTCAGACCCCAACTCCAGTGAACATTAGACCTAAACCTCTGACCACACACTCTGACCCCAACCTCAAAAATCCAAACTCGGAACCTTAAACCACAGGCCCACAAACCCCCAACCTCAGCCCTGCATACCCAGATCCCCAACTTCAGGCCCTAAATCTTATATCCCCACTTGAAGCCTCAGACTTGGCTCATATCTCAGACCCTGAAACTCATGCCCCGAAACTCAGATCTCCAACTGCAAACCCCAAAATCCAGCCCCAGCCTCCCACAGGGGAGGAGGAGAACCCCCGATTCCACCTCAGCCCCTGGGCCTTCCTGGGGCTCCAGCCTCATAGTGACCGCCTTGCTCCTCTCCAGGCTACGTGACAGGGGGCCACGTCCTCCGCCTCTTCCACGGTCACATGGATGAGTGTCTGACCATTTCCCCTGCGGACAGTGATGACCAGCGCAGGTTCGGGCTGGGGACCGGAGAGCCTGGGGTCTAGGGATAGAGGTGGGGGTGGGGCTGGGACTTTATGAGTCGGGTTAGGGACCAGATTCTGGGGGGCTGAACCCTGACCCACTCTCTCCTGTGTCCCCAGACTTGTCTACTACGAGGGTGGAGCTGTGTGCACCCACGCCCGCTCCCTCTGGAGGCTGGAGCCGCTGAGAATCAGGTGGGCGTGAGGGAGAGAGGAGACCTGGGGCAGGGCTCGGGCCTCCGGGGTCTGGGAGGAAGATCTGAGGAAGAGATCAGAGGGTCTTGAGGGAAAGTCCCGGAACCCCAAGAAAGAGGAAGGTCCTAAGGGACCCTGGAGTTCTGGAGGCAAAGGATGTGGCAGTTGGTGGGGAGGGGGTGTTTCTGAGGGAGAGATGATCAGGGGTCCTGAGTAAAATTGGGGGGAGTTTAGGGGTCTGGAAAAACTGGGGGTGCTGGAGACATCTGGGGAGCCCTGTGGAAGCTGTGAGGGCCTGAGAGAGGATTGGGGTTCCTGAGGGAGGAGTGTATTTGGGGGTCACGAGGAAGGTTTGGGGGCCTGGACCAAGACTGTGGTACCCATGGGAGGACTGGGGGTCCTCTGACTCCCCTCGCCCTCACCCTCCACAGCTGGAGTGGGAGCCACCTTCGCTGGGGCCAGCCATTTCGGATCCGGCATGTCACCACCGGGCGGTACCTGGCGCTCAGTGAGGACCAGGGCCTGGTGGTGGTTGACGCCAGCAAGGCCCACACCAAGGCCACCTCCTTCTGCTTCCGCATCTCCAAGGTCGGCAGGGTTCGGGGTGTCCTCCCTCGCCTGCATCGGCCCCAGCCTGCACTCTGCAGACAGAAGGGGCTGACCTCTGTCCCCTTCCCCTGCAGGAAAAGTTGGATATGGCCCCCAAGCGGGATGTGGAGGGCATGGGCCCCCCTGAGATCAAGTACGGGGAGTCGCTGTGCTTCGTGCAGCACGTGGCCTCGGGCCTGTGGCTCACCTATGCCGCCCCGGACCCCAAGGCCCTGAGGCTCGGCGTGCTCAAGAAGAAGGTGGGCCTGGCAGGGGAAGGTGTGAGGGTTCGGGCAGCTGCAGGAAGGGTGCTGAGGGGTCACACATGAGCCTTCGAGAGTTTGAGGATGGGACTGAGAGAAGGGCAGAGACTGGGAGAGAAATTGAGACTGAGAGAGACAGGAAAAAAGAAAGAGGGATATATACATGGAGAGAAAGAGAGAAACAGACAGGAAAAGGCAGAAACAAAGAGACATAGAAACAGAAACATAGAGAAAAATAGAGGCAGAGAGACACAGACAGAGAGAAAAAGACAGTGATCCACTGAGAATAACTTTCAGCAAACAATTATTAAACCCCCAGTTGTTCTGGATGTGTGTGTAGAAAAATATACAGACCTGTTCCCTGCCCTCTCAGTACTCAGAAATAGTGAATAAACTGCCTTTAAGGAATACATAGTTTTACAACTGAGGCATGGGAGAGCTACTTTTGACAGAGGGAACAGCATGTGCAAAGGTCCTGAGGTTGGCATGAGCTTGGCTTGTTGTAATAAGAGAAAGAAGACCCAATGTGGCTGGAGCAGGGTGAGCAAGGGGCAAGTAGTGGGAGGCGAGGACAGAGATGGGGATGAGAACAGGTGGTCTTGTTTTTATCCTGAGTGAGATGGAGCCACCAGAAAGTGTTGAGCAGGGCATGGAATTGACCTGACTCAGGGTCGCAGAGTCCCTAGGCTGCCTGTGGGAACAGACTAGGGGGCGGGGACAGAGCTGGAGCAGGGAGACCAGCAAGGAGCCTGCTGCAAACGGAAAATGGCAGGGGACAGGGCCAGGGTGTGGACTGTGGAGTGGGGAAAGGTCACAGATTCTCGTTGGATTTTGAGGGTGGAGCCAACAGGATTTGCTAACAGATTGACTATGGGGTGAGGGAGAGGGAGGGGCTGAGGATAGTGGCATGATTTTTGCCCTGTGCAACTGGAAGGATGGAAGTGCCATCAACTGAGTCAGGGGACAGTCAATGTGAGCTCGGAAGGACGGGGATCTTGGGTTTTACCCCCAATGCCTAGAACAGAGCCACTTGCTAAGGACTTGCTGAGTGGATGAGTGGGAAGCCCAGGGACATATTCATTTGCAAAAAGTGGGGCCTGTGGATACATGAGCCGAGGATGTAGAGACCAGGCCTGGGCCAGAGAGGGACACGTGGGAGTCGCCAGCAGGTGGATGGTATTTCCAGCTGCGGACTGGACCAAGTCCTGGGGAGGTCAGCGTGGGGTGAAGCTGGCAGCCGTGATGGTCTCACCTCACCGAAAGGTGGTCAGGCATTCTGTCTGGGACATGCTCCGTTTGGCGTGCTGTTAGAGCTTTCTCGGGTGAAGATGCTAAGTCAGTAGTAGGTACAGGTGGAGAGCGTCTGGCCTGGAGACAGGCAAGGTGGACAGAGACAGAGAGACGAAGACAGACAGAAACAGAGAGAGAGGGACAGAGAGGAGAGAGAAAGAATGAAAGACAGAGGAGACAGCTGTGAGGGACAGAAAGATGGGGGCTTGGCAGAGAGATTCTGGGGAGCGGGGGCAGCTATGGGACTAAAGTCTGGGCAGAAGTCTGGGGGGCATGGCCCTGGGCAGCTGGTGACCTCTGTCCTCCTGCTGAGGTCCCTCCTGACCTCTGTCCCCTCCACTCCCAGGCCATGTTGCACCAGGAAGGCCACATGGACGACGCACTGTCGCTTACCCGCTGCCAGCAGGAGGAGTCCCAGGCCGCCCGCATGATCCACAGCACTGCCGGCCTGTACAACCAGTTCATCAAGTAGGTGGCCTGCCCTCTGCCCAGGGGACCCCCGTGCTCCTGGCGTTCATACACCCGACCGCTCTCATCTCTGCTTGACAGCACAGCGCTAACGTACACACGACCCCTAACCTCTAAACTCCCCACCTCTGCAGGCTTGACCCTTAATCTGACCTTGACAACCATAACTTTAACCTGATCATCAGCTGCCTTTTACACCCCTGACACCGACCTTTCACCCCTGACACCCAGACCCTGACCCTGGACCTCCCCAGCCCTGACTCCTGCTTCCCTGAGTCCCTGTGCTTACACAGGGGCAGTCCCAGTCCCAGCTCTGCCCTTGGCCACCATGTGATCCCCCCTCCCCCGCCAATGCCTTTCCCTCTCTGGGGCTCAGTCTCCCCGAGTGTGGAAGTCCTGCGGGGTGGCGTGGCGACAGCGCTCTCAGCCTGGGCTGACAGCTGCTCTGTCCCCGTAGGGGCCTGGACAGCTTCAGCGGGAAGCCACGGGGCTCGGGGACGCCGGCTGGCACGGCGCTGCCCATCGAGGGCGTCATCCTGAGCCTGCAGGACCTCATTGTCTACTTTGAGCCGCCCTCCGAGGAGCTGCAGCACGAGGAGAAGCAGAGCAAGCTGCGCAGCCTGCGCAACCGCCAGAGCCTCTTCCAGGAGGAGGTGGGGCCAAAGCGAGGGGCGGGGTCTGCGGACAGGGGGCAGGGCCAATGGGCGGGGCCGTGGCGCTGGGGGGGCAGGGCCTGAGGGACCTGGGAATGGGGGGTCTGAGAGAGGGCGGGGCAGGCGGAGGAGCCGAGGAAGGACCTTGGCTTCTGGGATCGTAGGAGGCGGGGCCAGGGGAGGGCTTGCTTTGGTGGGCGTGGCCTGCGAGGGAGGGGCAGGGCGCCTGAACGAGCAGGGGGTGGGGCTGAGAAACGGATGGAACTGGAGAGATGAGGGCGGGTCCGTGTGGCGCTCAGGGCCAAGGCGAGGCCTGGGGAGGAGAGTCCGGGGCGGGAGAAGTCAGAGCATGGACGGGGTGCGGCTGCCACTCAGGGCAGTGTCCGTGGGGGCGGGGCCTGTGGGGTACGAGGGCGGGGCCAGAGGTAGGTCTTCGGGCAACAGGGAGCAGATGCCAGCTGTGAATGAAACGGACACAAATCTCTGTCCTTATGGAGTTGACATGGCAGGGGAGACAGATGATCAATGAAATAAATAGGTAGATTATATGGTATATTAGATGGTGATAAGTGCTAAGGAGTAAAAGAAGCAGGGAACGTGTAAGGAGTGCTGGGGTTTTGCAATTTAAAATTCAGCGTTCAGGCAGGGTAACCTGAACAGAGAGGGAGCGGTGCGCAAAGGCCATGAGGTGGGATTGTGCTTGGTATGTGCCAGAAACAGCAAGGCAGTGACGGAAGTAGCGTGGCTAGGGGAAGAGTGGGAGGAGATGCGGACAGACAGGTGACAAGGGCCAGACCGTGGTGAGGACTTTGGTTTTAGGAGCCACAGGACAGTTAGGTCTTCTAAAGTCACAACTAGTTAGTGGCAGAGCCAGTCTGTGTGACTCCAACTTGGTCGTGCTCTCGACATGATGTGAGTCTCGTACTACTGATTCGGGCCGCAGGATATAGATGCAGTTGTTATAGCAGCACTATGTGTAATAGCCTAAAACTGAAAACAGCCCAAATGTCCACCAACACTAGAATGGAACTATAAATGTGGCATATTCGTACAATGGAATACTACTCAGCAGTGAAAATGCAGATGAAAACAAACTACCACCACATGCAACACCGTGCTTGAATCTTAAAACATAATACGGTTGTCCCTTGGTATGGTGGGGGGACTGGTTCCAGGATCCCCCTCAAATACCCAAATGTGCAGGAGCTCAAGTTCTTTATATTAAATGGCAAAGTATTTGCATACAACCTGTGCATATCCTTCTACATACTTTAAATCATCTCTAGATTACTTATAATACCTAATACAATATAAATACTATATAAATAGTTTTTTTAGTGTATTTTTAAATTTGTATTTTTTAAATCATTTTTTTTCCAAATATTTTTGATCTGGTTGGTCGAATCCTTGGATGGGAACCTGCCAATGTGGAGGGTCAACTGTATTCAGCAAAATAATCCTTGTATTATACAAAAGAATCTTACTGTATACCCCAAGTTCAAAAGGAGGAAAAACTCACCTAGACTGTTCATTGATACATACATAAGTGGTAAAAACAGAAAAGCAAGAAAGGGCTTTCTATAAAAGTCATGACAGTGGTTATTCCTAGCAAGGAGGGCTGTGTGACCAGGGGGCACCCAGACGGCTTCTGAGTGGCTGGTAATGTTTTCTTCCTTGCCCCAAATCATGGTTACACCAGTGTTCTTTAGATCTGTTTGTTAAACCACATACATTTGATCATCATTATTCTTGGATTTTATATCGGCACATTTGCCTACTCGCTAAAATTTATTTGTAACCCTGATATCAATACTCGTAGCACTTTTGTGGTCATTTGTGCACGGGTGTAGCAGAGGAATGGAAAATTTGAGTTGTCTGATGAACATGGTATCAGCTGAGATTGAACAAGGGCAATCTCTGTCTTCCTGTTACAACTCTCTTCCTGTAAACAAATGTCCTTTTTGCAGCATATTTAGTACAAAAATTCATGAATTTTTGTCCTTTTTTTGGATTTCACTATTTCAAATGGCTCCCAAGTGTTGTGCTGAAGTGCTGTCTAGCATTCCTAAGTGCAAGGAGGCTGTGATTCGCTTTACTGAGAAAATATGTTTAGATAAGCTCCATGAGGCATGAGTTATGGTGCTGTTAGCCATGAATTTAATGTTAATGAATCAACAATGTATATTAAATAAGTGTCTTTAGACAGAAACACATAAAAAAAGATTGGTTGACAAAAATTCTGTGACCAGAGACTCAGAAGAACTCTCTGTAGTCGCCCTGGGAGCAGTGGTTCAGTATTTGACAATTCAGGATTCATAGTGACTTGTTTTCCCCACCCCAGGGGATGCTCTCCCTGGTCCTGAATTGCATTGACCGCCTAAATGTCTACACCACCGCTGCCCACTTTGCTGAATTTGCGGGGGAGGAGGCAGCCGAGTCCTGGAAGGAGATTGTGAATCTACTCTATGAACTCCTGGGTAAGCGGCCCCGGCCCTGAGAGCACCCCAGATCCCAGTCCCATTGGGTCTGACCCCTCTGCCACCCTCAGCCTCTCTGATCCGCGGCAATCGTACCAACTGTGCCCTCTTCTCCACGAACTTGGACTGGCTGGTCAGCAAGCTGGACCGGCTGGAGGCCTCGTCTGGTAGGAGAACCTGGGAGAGTGGGACAGGGGTGGCGGGGAGGGGAGGGCCACGGCCACCTCGCCTCTCACGCTGGCGCCCGGGCAGGCATCCTGGAGGTGCTGTACTGTGTCCTGATTGAGAGTCCCGAGGTCCTGAACATCATCCAGGAGAACCACATCAAGTCCATCATCTCCCTCCTGGACAAGCATGGGAGGAACCACAAGGTTGGCCCTTCACCCCTGACCTCTTGTCCCCTGAATTCTGAATCCTGACCTCTCCCCAGGGCCCCAGAACTCTGTTCACTCCCTCCCTCCCCTCCTCCATCTCATCTCTTGCCTCCCACTGGCTTCTGTCTCGACACGCGGGTCTCAAACTCATGGCTCTTGCATTGATTCTGGGCCACAGATGTGCTTCGTTGGATCTCTGAAATGTTTTTAAAATTTTCCTATTTTACAGCCTTTCAGTGGGCTGCATATATACTCTTCAGTTTGCTACAGTCCCACAAGCTCCTACTGCACTAGTTCTAACCACTTCACACAGTTACCTTACCTACCTGGCCCCCGCAGACACGAGCTTGCAACCCCCCCCAATCTAAAATCTCGCCTGGGTTCCTGTGTCCCACTGGCCCTTTCACTCTGCCCTCTGCCCTCCTACCTCGCTCCTCCAACATCTCCTTTCTTACATTGCTGACGCCTTATCCCATCCTATGTGACTCCCCAGCCTCTCACCAGACCTTCCTCTTTGACCCCTGACCTTTCTCTGTGATCCCCGACCTTCCGCTTTCACGCCCCTCCTTCTCTCAGTCGAAATGTCCATATCTCGTCCCCATGCACCGTTCTTCCCTTCTGGCTTCCCTCCCTGGTCCTTCATAGACCTGTCCACACCCCTTGACCTCTGACCTCGACCTCCAGGTCCTGGACGTGCTGTGCTCCCTGTGCGTGTGCAATGGCGTGGCTGTGCGCTCCAACCAAGATCTCATTACTGAGAACTTGCTCCCTGGCCGGGAGCTTCTGTTGCAGACAGACCTCATCAACTATGTCACCAGGTCCGGCCCCTGACCCCTGACCCTAGGACTCAAACCTCTCAGTCCTCTCCCTGACTCTGGGGCTCCACGCCCAGCTGATGTCCCTTCCCGCACCTCCCACCCAGGGTTACGCCTTGCCCTCGCAGATGTCCACACAGGCCCTGCTCCCCTGGGCTCCCCACGGCTCTGGTCCCCTCTCCCTGGCTCCGTCTCTGCCTGTCTGTTTCTTCCCCTCTACCCCCTTTCTGTGTTTTCTCTTTTTGTCTTTTCCTGTCTTCCATCTCTTCCTCCCTGTCTCTCTCCCACCTCTCTCTTCTCCGTCTGTCTTTGGATGTCTCTGTCCCCCCAACCCGGCTTTCCTCTCCATCCCCCTCACCCCCCTCCCGTCTCGTCTCTCCTGTAGCATCCGCCCCAACATCTTTGTGGGCCGAGCGGAGGGCTCCACGCAGTACGGCAAATGGTACTTTGAGGTGATGGTGGACGAGGTGGTTCCGTTTCTGACAGCTCAGGCTACCCACCTGCGGGTGGGCTGGGCCCTCACCGAGGGCTACAGCCCCTACCCCGGGGGCGGCGAGGGCTGGGGCGGCAACGGGGTCGGCGATGACCTCTACTCCTACGGCTTTGACGGGCTGCATCTCTGGACAGGTACCCGGACCCTTGCAGGGGACCCTCACCCCTGACCGTGAACCCCTGAGTTTCTAAGACTCTGACCACACACTTCAAGGGTCTTGGGATCCTGACCCCCAGAAGAGGCCAAATTTGACCTCTTATTCCTCATTTCCCAAGACCCTAACCCTAGACCTTCCAGAACCCCGGCCCTGATCTATTTCCTTATAACCTCCAGAACTCTGACCCAGAGGAGGTATGACCTTTCAACCTAGAGATCCCAGAGGACTGCCCAGATTATTGTGACCTCTGGTCTTTGACTTCTGACCCCAAAAGTTCCAGAATCCTGACTCCAGGGGACTTTAATCTCTGACCCCACAGCACTCGAGACCCTAACCTCAGGGTAACCCTGACCTCTGCCCCTCATTTCTGAGCTGCAGGACCATCCATGGGAACACTTGCCCTTAGGGTCACCAGGATCTAGTCCCCACAAGGATTCTCCAATATCTGTCCCTTGTCTCTTGATGTCATTGGTTCCATGGGACCTCTGACCTCTGACCCTTCCTTGGTGACCCCGGTGCAGGACACGTGGCACGCCCGGTGACTTCCCCAGGGCAGCACCTCCTGGCCCCTGAGGACGTGGTCAGCTGCTGCCTGGACCTCAGCGTGCCGTCCATCTCCTTCCGCATCAACGGCTGTCCCGTGCAGGGCGTCTTCGAGGCCTTCAACCTCAACGGGCTCTTCTTCCCTGTCGTCAGCTTCTCGGCCGGTGTCAAGTGAGGACTTCTCCCTGCCCCACTTCCAGGCCCCAGACCTGGGACTGACCCCAAACAGCTTCTCCAATCCCTCCACCGCCTGCTATGAGGCCAGGACCCAGCAGCCTTCCAAGACTGACTGGTGACCTCAGGTCTTTCCAGAACTTTCCATTGAACCTAGGATTGCTCCCATACCACCCCCCCCACCGACCGCAGACTCTCCCCTGTAATTCCCCCGGCCTGATCCCCGCTCTTTCTCCCAGGGTGCGGTTCCTGCTCGGTGGCCGCCATGGTGAATTCAAGTTCCTCCCGCCACCTGGCTATGCCCCGTGCCACGAAGCTGTGCTCCCGCGAGAGCGGCTCCATCTTGAACCCATCAAGGAGTACCGGCGGGAGGGGCCCCGGGGGCCGCACCTGGTGGGCCCCAGTCGCTGCCTCTCACACACGGACTTTGTGCCCTGCCCTGTGGACACCGTCCAGGTACCGCCTGCCCTACAAGCGTCTTCTGGGGAGGCAGGCTCTTAGGGTCAGAGAGGTGGGGAGCTGGGGGGAAGCTGGGAACCTCGTTGTTTAACAGGTGGAGAAACTGAGGCACAGAGGAGGCAAAGGATTAAGTCAAGGCGGAGTCCCAGTTTCAGGGAGTCCTCACCACTGCCCCATAAAGACAGGACTGTTGTTACCCCCAAGTTACAGTTGAGGAAAGCGAGGCCCAGAGAGGTTAAGCAGTGTGTGCAAATCACACAGCAGATCAGAACCCAGGGATGTGGTTCCGAAGCCCGTGGTCCCACCCACTGCCATCTGGGGGGCAGCCCTTCTGTGCCAGGTCCCTCATGCTCATATCCCAACCTGAGCTGCACGTACCCGCCAAGCACGTCCCTACAGGAAGGAGTGTGTGTTGTGTTTCAAAGCCTGACAGCAAGGGTTTGGTTTCCGGTCATGTGATCTTGGGCCAGAACTTTGTCTCCCTGTGCCTCAGTTTCCTTATCTGTGAGGCAAAGGGGGTAACAATGTGACCTGTCCCATAGCATTACTAGGAAGATTAGGTGGATTAGTGTATTTGAAGAGCTTAACGCAGTCCTGGGTAAATAGTAGGCACTCCAAACAGTTACTAGTTACTGGCAGCTCTGATATTATCTCAGAGGTGACCTCCCCATGCCCCTGTCCCCAGGCCAGAGCCCTGGATGCCTCCCCTGCCCCCAGCTGTCCACTCGGCCTCCTGGACACCCCTCCCACCCCCCTTTTCTCCTCCCACGGCCCACCCCAGTCCAAACCATTGTTATCTCTCGCCTGCAGAACACCAATAACACCGATATTTATTAGGCACCTACTGTGTGCCAGACATTTATAGAAGCTTCGTAACATTTAGTAGTTTACACAAATGATTTCGCTGAATCCTTCCAAGGTAGGTGCTGCGAGTTAGGTGTTGTTACGGTTCTCATTACTCAGAGAAGGCAGAGACTCCTCCCCTCACTCAGCGAGCGCTTTCCGAGCCTGTCCTCTGGGGCTGGGGCTGGCTCCGGGCTGGCTAGTGCTGGGGACTCGGTGGAGACTGAGGCAGCCCTGGGCCCTGCCCTCAGGGAGCTCCCAGTCCACAGCGGGAGGCAGATAATTCCTTAATTCTGGAGATGCTAAATCCTCCCTCATCTGCTAAGTCTTCTCTCATCAACCCGGAGCCAGGGCGAGGGCTGGGGAGCAAGGCTGGGGGCATCAGAAAAGGGGGTGCTGGCGGAGCCTGTCCAGGGACCTCACGAATGTCCCTCTGCCCCTAGATCGTCCTGCCTCCCCATCTAGAGCGCATTCGGGAGAAGCTGGCAGAGAACATCCACGAGCTCTGGGCGCTGACTCGCATCGAGCAGGGCTGGACCTATGGCCCGGTGAGGGCTGCCTGCAGCAGGAGGGAGGCAGGCTAGACTCGCAGTGGGCCAGTGAGAACGGCTCACTGGCTGGGAGGGGAGGGTGTTGGGAGGAAGGACTTCAGGGAACCAGGGGTCCTTGAGCTGCAGGTGACAGAACTGGGGGTTGGAGGTCAGGGGTCACGGTCTGGGCGTGCTGGGGGAAGGGAAGGGGAACCCGAAGAGTTGAGCCCAGGGCTTTTCCAGGTTCGTGATGACAACAAGAGGCTGCACCCATGTCTTGTGGACTTCCACAGCCTGCCGGAGCCCGAGAGGAATTACAACCTGCAGATGTCGGGGGAGACGCTCAAGTGAGGGGTGCAGGGGAGGGGGCTGGCTGACTGCCTGTGGGCAGGGAGACAGAGACAGAGAAGCTTGGGGTGGGGGACAGGAATCGTGACACAGAAACGGATAGACAGAGGCAGAAGGAGAGAGACAGCGAGAGACAGACATCAGAAAGTCGGAGGCCAAGACCCAGAGCGACGGGGACAGGCCCCAGATGGCAGGAGATGTGGACAGAGCTGGGGGGGGGGCTGAGGGGAGGAGCAGGGGCAGGGAGCTCCGAGGCATGTGACCTGTCGCCCCTGGTCCCCCTGTCCCCCAGGACCCTGCTGGCGCTGGGCTGCCACGTGGGCATGGCGGACGAAAAGGCCGAAGACAACCTGAAGAAGACAAAACTCCCCAAGACGTGAGCATGGCCGGGCAGGTCCTGCGGGGGGAGCTGCAGGGCTGGGGGCGCCGTGCTGAGGGCTGGGGAGGTCGATGGGTCTTGTGCGGAAGCTGAGGTCAGAGACAAAGGGGTGGTGGGTTAGGGTGAAGGTCGTAGGGTCAGGGGTCAGGGCTCTGGGGTCAAAGGTGAGTGTCCAGGATTGAGGAGTTAGGAGTTCCAGGGAGAGGGTGGGTGTGAGGCCAGGACCCAGGGCCAGGGGCTGTCATGGAGTCAGGAAGAAGACAAAGCAGATGCCATATCTCCATGCTAGGGGCAAGAGGTCAGTGGTAAAAGGGGAGAATCTAGAGGTCTCTGGGGTTTTGAGAGATCCTAAAATTATAGGTGAGAGGTCACAGATCCTGAGTTCAGAGGTCAGGGATCTCAAAGCTTATTCTAGGAAGTCATAGGGCGGTGATATTAGAGATCGAAGGTCAGAAATTCCAAAGCTCAGGGCTAAGGATCCTGGGATCTTGGGGTCAAGGATCAGAAGTCAGGGATCTCGTAGCACAGAGCCCAGAAGCAGAGGTGCAGGCGGCATCCCGCCGGGCCCCCTGCCACACCTGCAGGTATATGATGAGCAACGGGTACAAGCCGGCTCCGCTGGACCTGAGCCACGTGCGGCTGACGCCAGCGCAGACGACACTGGTGGATCGTCTGGCAGAAAACGGACACAACGTGTGGGCACGGGACCGCGTGGGCCAGGGCTGGAGCTACAGCGCCGTGCAAGACATCCCCGCACGCCGGAACCCTCGGCTCGTGCCCTACCGCCTACTGGACGAGGCCACCAAGCGCAGCAACCGGGACAGCCTCTGCCAGGCCGTGCGCACCCTGCTGGGCTACGGCTACAACATCGAGCCGCCTGACCAGGAGCCCAGTGAGTGCCGACCCTGGCCCCCAACCTTGGCTCCCATCCCAGCCCCTGACCCCTGATTTCTGAGCCGACTCAGCCCCCGAATGGGCTACATCTATAACATTGAGCCAACTGACCCCTCCCCCGAACCCTGACCCTTATCTCAACCCCAACTCTGACCCTGAACTCACCACTGCCCTTGACCTGACTCAATGCCTGTCTGGGCTGTGGCTACAACCCTGAGCTGCCAGACTAGGAGCCCAGTGAGCACTAACCCTGACCCCTGACCTCCAGCTTTGACTCCTAACCTAATCTCTGGACTGGAGCTACAACATGGAGTCAGAACCTCTATCCCCTACCCCTAACCTGACCCCTGACCTATCACTGACTCCTAATCCCTAACCCTGGCCATGGTTCCCAACCCTCAGTTGCTCAAACCCTGGCCCCAGTTCCAATTTCTATCCTCTCCCTGACCCCGACTCTGACCCCTAATCTTTCTCTCAACCCTTGATTCTAAACATTGACCTTAATCTTGACCCTTAACCTCAGACCATAGCTCTAACCAGGTCACTGACTTGACTTTCTCCCTCTGTGTCTCTGTCAGTCTCTCTGAGAACTCTGACTGCTAAAGAGATGCAGGTCTCTCAGTGGTGTCCCTCTTGCCTTTCTCTGATTAGTCTAATGTTCCCCAGTACTCCTCTAGCACCAAGAAATTGTCCCTCTTCCAATAGTTCCCCAAAGCCTTTACCTTCACTGGTCTCTCCCACCAAATTCTTGATGTCTTGGGATCCACTCCCTGCCCGGCCTCTCTGACTCTGCCTGGCCTCATTTGTAGGTCAGGTGGAGAGCCAGTCTCGATGGGATCGGGTGCGCATCTTCCGGGCAGAGAAATCCTATGCAGTGCAGAGTGGCCGCTGGTACTTTGAGTTCGAGGCAGTCACCACGGGTGAAATGCGAGTGGGCTGGGCGAGGCCCGAGCTGAGGCCTGATGTAGAGCTGGGAGCTGATGAGCTGGCCTATGTCTTCAATGGGCACCGCGTGAGTACCTCCCTGGGCTCCACTGCCAGGCCCTGTGGTCCCTCCCACAGCTCATACACTCCAGCCTGTGCCTCACTCTGTCCTCTCTCCCCACATCTACTCTACCACTTATGCATCCATCCATCTACCCAACCACTCATCCATCCATCCATCTATCCATCCACCCATCCCTCCATCCAACCATCCATCCATCCATTAATCCATCCAACCAACCATCCATCCATCCATCCATCCATCCATCCAACCATTCATGTATCCATGCAACCATTGATCCATCCATCCAATCATTCATCCATCCAACAATCCACCCAATCAACCATCCATCCAGCCAGCCAGCCATTTGTCTATCTTTGCACCTACATACACTTTCTTCCTTCCCTGCATCAACCCACATAGACTCTCAACTTTCCATGCATTTTGCCATCCAGCCGTATACCCAAATTCTCATCCATCCATCTCATTATCTACCCGTCTATTCTGTAGACATATAGGGGTCTGTATAGGGGACATTGACAGGTTCATGTTTCCTTTCCATTCCTCCACTTTCTGTTGTCCCCAGCCCCCCACTACCACTTTGGTGGTCTGCATAACCTCAGCCATGGCAACAGCAGAGAACCCAGGCAGAAGGCATAAGACAGAGATTTAGTGGGGAGGGAAATTTCAGGGATCGTGGATGCAAATGTGGGGAAAGATGGGGACACTGTGGGGTGGCCCCTCTTCTGTCCCACATGCCCTGAACCTGATGTTTCACATGTATGTCTTCCCATGTCTCTCTCTTCCTGCCTCCTCATCTCTCCATTTCTCTGTGTGTCTCTGTCTTCCCTGGCTCCCCACAGGGCCAGCGCTGGCACCTGGGCAGTGAACCGTTCGGGCGCCCCTGGCAGTCGGGTGATGTCGTCGGCTGTATGATCGACCTCACAGAGAACACCATTATCTTCACTCTCAATGGCGAGGTCCTCATGTCTGACTCAGGCTCTGAAACAGCTTTCCGGGACATTGAGATTGGGGACGGTGAGGGCTGAGACCCCTGCACGTGCCCCTCTGGTTCTCCTCCCTGTCACCTGACCCTGCACTGCCCGTCTGCCTCTAGCTCTCCCATCCCTTCCACGGTTCCTCCTCTCCCGCTGCCCCTGCCCTGCCCACCTGCCCTCACCCCTGCCCATCCATCCCCTCCCACCAGGCTTCCTGCCCGTCTGCAGCTTGGGACCCGGCCAGGTCGGTCACCTGAACCTGGGCCAGGACGTGAGCTCCTTGCGGTTCTTTGCCATCTGTGGCCTCCAGGAGGGCTTTGAGCCATTTGCCATCAACATGCAGCGTCCGGTCACCACCTGGTTCAGCAAGAGCCTTCCCCAATTTGAGGCTGTGCCCCCTGAACACCCCCACTATGAGGTGAGGGCCAGCTCCGCTCAGTACCTTCTGATCTGCCTCCAAAGCTCGTTCTTCCCACAGTTCCCTTCCCTGAGTCCCTCCTTCCTTCTATGTTAGCGCATAAGGGACGTCAGGACACCAGGCTCCCGGGGCTGCCCTTTCGCGTACAACTTTGGCAAATCACAACCTTCCCGAGCTCCAGGTGTGTCACCTATAAAATAGGCGAGGAGAGAAAAGAGAAGTCAGATTAAACGACCCCAGTGGAAATATTTAGTCCTTACAGATATCTGATCCTAGAACAAGGTTTAAAGAAATAGAAACCCCTGGGTACATTTTGACACCTTCCTTACTAATTGTTATCTGTGTGTTGGTTTTTAGTTGTTTTTTTCTTGAGTTTGTTTTTAGTAGCTCTTCATCAATCTAAGCATCTTAATATTTAGATTTCAGTGTCTTTTCCTTCCCAAAGTTAAACTCAGAGTCAGACCCTGATCACACATACCCTACATAGACTAAAGTGATCTTCTTCTCAGTACGGGAAGAACTTGAACTCCCCATGGCTGGGCTTCAGCTGGCACTTTAGAAGAAGACGGACCTGGAGTTGGCCTCTCACCTGCTGTGTGACCTTGGGCATGTGACTGTCTCTTCCTAAGCCTATGGTACATAGTGTTCCCATCCATGGCCACACGTTCTCTCTCTCTCTCTAAGTCACTTGAGACTAGGCTGGAGACAGAGTGCCTCTTTACCTCTAAATACTTCAATGTGCCTTTCTTCCATGTTCTAACAGAACTTCAGTACAGTTATGAAAATCAGGAAATTAAACATTGATATTTACTACTACCTAATCCACAGTCTATATTCAAATTTTGTCAATTGTGGCAAAAATGTCCCATTTTTTCTGGTCCAGAATCCAATCCAGGATTACATGTTGCATTGAGTTGTTACGTCTCTTTGGTCTCCCTGCAGAATGTTCCTGAGTCTCTTTGTCTTTCCTAACATTGACATTTTGGAGAATACTGGCTGGTTGTCTTGTAGAATGTCCCTCATTTGGGTTTGCCTATTGTTTCCTCATACTTAGGTTCATACCACACATATCTGGCAGGAATATCACAGACGTGGGGTTGTGTCCTGCTTGGTCTGTGTCGTTTCGTCTGAATACTGATTGTTAACTCAACTATTTGATTGACTATTTGAGCCAAGTTTCTCTGCTATAAAGTTCCTGTTTTTCTCTCTGTAACTACAAGTGATTTGTGGGGAGATATTTTAAGACTATGCAAAAAGGGAAGAGTTTTAAGTAGGGGAACATTCAGTTGAGAGTTGAGTTTTGGAAAAGTCCCTATTGGCAGTGGGTCACAGGAGGCGAGAGTGGAGGGAGAAGGACAAAAGAGGTGGCCAGGGCAGGACAGGATGGCGGAGTAGACAGGGAGCTCCTGACACCTGGCCCTGCCAAGTAAGGTTCTGGACCCAAGGCACGGAGTGCCGTACAGAGCAGTGAGAAGGAATAAACGGAAACGCACACAAGCGCGTGCACGCATCTCAGATGTAGTAGTGTCAAACGGAAGAAGCCAGACACAAAAGAGTACTTGCTGTGGGATCCCATTCATAGAAAGTTCGAGAACAGGCAAAGCTGATCTGAGCTGTAATATTTCAGGAAGTTGGTTACCATGCAAGAATAACTCAGAGACATGGTTCGCTACTTTGCACACAAATCACAGGAGGGAGACCGGTCAGTAGACTGTTGTCAAAGAATAAAGAAAAAAACAGTATTTATAAGACAGAAGGGAGAGAGAGGAGAGAAGAAGACCCTTCAGAGCCTGGGAGCAGGGAATCTGTGCGCACAGTTTGGAGCAAATTCATTACGGGTGAGGAGTACGTGGGTTCGTCTCAGCAGCGGTCCTTGATGAGGTTGGCTGGCAGAGGGGCATCAAAGGGGACTCGTTCCCTTGTTTAGACTTTGGAGAGTTCGTCTCTGCAGTGCACAGGACAGGCGTCTGTCCCTGTCGCAGCTCCGGCCCCTGACTTTGGCCGGGCTGGTGCATTTCCCTTGTCGGAATCCCTCGCTATCTTTGAGAAGGGCAGTGACTAACAGAGGCCACCAAGGAGGCTCTTGGGGCCTTGGTCACGTTGCGTTTCTCCATCTGGGTGTTGTGCACTTATGATGCGTCCACATTTCTGAGTGTTCAGTTTCCACATACAGTGAAATTAATAAGAATTCCCTGGGGGAGCCCTTGCGAAACTCTGATCCTACCGAGCTGCTCTCCCCCAGGGGTGTCCCCGAGAGACCAGGAGGGCGGGGTCTTTGTTCTGTTCACCTAGAACGGTGCCCGGCACACAGCAAGTGCTCAGTAAATATTTGCGGAATGGATGGGCGGATGGATGTAGGTAGGTTCTGGAAGTTCCCCCATGTGATTCCAGCGTATAATCAGAGCTGCCGCTGCACGCGGCCCCAGACAAAGGTTGACAGGAGCTGAAAGCGCCCCACAGCCAATCTGTGTGTGCCCCACCGAGAGCTTCATCTGCCCAGAGGAGGGGGCGTCTTTGACTAATTCTCACAGAGGTGCTCTAAGGCCTACACGTGTAACAGGTTTAGGACCCATGGCCTGGCCTAGTCCACCTGCCCAGCTCAGTGGCTTTTGCCCCCCCCCCAGGTGGCCCGCGTGGACGGCACTGTGGACACGCCCCCCTGCCTGCGCCTGACCCACCGCACCTGGGGCTCCCAGAACAGCCTGGTGGAGATGCTCTTCCTGCGGCTGAGCCTCCCCGTCCAGTTCCACCAGCACTTCCGCTGCACCGCGGGGGCCACGCCTCTGGCGCCCCCCGGCCTGCAGCCGCCCGCGGAGGACGAGGCCCGAGCGGCAGAGCCTGACCCCGACTACGAAAACCTGCGCCGCTCTGCTGGGCGCTGGGGTGAGGCTGAGGGCGGCAAGGAGGGAACTGCCAAGGAGGGGGCGCCCGGGGGCACCCCCCAGGCTGGGGGAGAGGCCCCGCCTGTCCGGGCGGAGAACGAGAAGGACGCTACCACGGAGAAGAACAAGAAGAGAGGGTAAGTCAAGGCTGGGCCCAGAGTGGGGTTTGGAGTCTGTCTTGACGCCCCCAATTAGGCAACCTCAATAACGAGAACCCCCCCATTGTACCCCAAAGAGGCTCCACATAAGCTAAGTGGAGTCAGAATACTGAGGGATCCTATCATGTCTCAAGTGAACCCCATGATGTTCCTGAGATGCTCTAACTTCCCTGGGAATGTAAAATTGGGGTGCCCTACTATATGTATGGAGAATTCTACTATCCTTGCGTACCTGGGGGGCCCAAAGGGCTTCACCCAATGGACTTCGTTGTCCATGGACACTAAGGAGCCCTCAGCATCTGGGAGGGTTCACTTTACTCCAGGGTATCCCAGTGAACACCAACTGGTCTACCTTGGGGTCCTTTCTGTGTCTCAAATGTACTCCCCAAAAACTAACTTCAAGGGAGACTCTCAGCAGGTGTTGAACTGAAACTAGGTCTGCTTTTCCCTCCTGTGGTTTCCGATGGGATGGAGTTTGGTGTCTCTTGGGGGGTGTTTGGAAATGACAGAGCTCTGCTGGTTATTGCAGTTTGGGAGGAGATGCTGCTGCTGGGGTGGGGGAGGAGGGTCCCCAGGGTGCCACATGCCTTGCAGCTCACCAGACAGTGCCACACAAGGAAGACTTGTCCCTTCCCCAATGTGTTTAGCACCCTTATGAGAAATGCATATGAGAAATGCCAACTTAGGGGACCACTGCATGCCCCAAAAGGGACCCCCATATTCCCACAAGGCATCTTTAAGCTTGGGGGGCCCAGCACCCACAAGCGCAGGGCGCAGCACCCCCAGAGCAGGCCAGGCTGGCGTGGGCGGGAAGTGCAGCCCTCCAGAGGCAAGGCCTGGCACGCCGGAAGTGGGCGCATTTAGGCCGATGTGGGGCAGGAATGGTGCGGTGGGAGGGCTGGGGCCGGGCTTCAGAGCTGGTTCTCAGGGCACTGCTCCTCCCACTGCCAGCTTCTTATTCAAGGCCAAGAAGGTCGCCATGATGACCCAACCACCAGCCACTCCCACTCTGCCCCGGCTCCCTCGAGACGTGGTGCCCGCTGACAACCGCGATGACCCCGAGATCATCCTCAACACCACCACGGTGTGAACCGGGACCCCTCCCGCCAGCATGGGAACTCCGAGACTTCCCAGTTTAGTGCTGCCCATACGTGGGGGTACCCCAGTATACAGCAGAGACTCACGAAATACAGCACACGCTGATTTAATCCTTTGAGCCTGAATAGCTAGGGCCTAAAAATGGCAGGGAGCACAGTGCAGCTATGAGGCACCATGATGTAACTCCCAGGGATCCCAGAATCCAGGGGACCCTAACACTGGGGCTCACCCATATAAACGCAATACCCCAAATTTAATAACTAATATATTCCTAGGGACAAAAATTCATAATTATCCCAATATAGTCTTGGCATTCCCCAAATCTAAAGTATTTTAGGAGACAGCCCGGTGGTTAGGCTCACGGGCCACTGAGGTGCCCCCTGGGCCAGTCACCTCCCCCCTCTGCGCCTTCCCTTCCATGGAAACACTATGGTTTTTCCATCAGTGGTGGTCGCGCGGATGAAGTGGGTCAATGTGTGTAAAACCTGAGAACAGCCAGTGCTGTCTGTGAGCTATTATTTATTTATTAGTTTGCTCTACCCTGGGGACGAACCCAAATGTGGGGGGAGCACAAAACGTTCCCAAAGGGTTCCTGAATCTAGAAATGCATCTGCAGACACAGAAACAGAGAGACAGACACCCAGTTGCCAGGGGGGTGATTCTCAAATCCAGCAACTTCTTATTAAACTCCCACAAGACCCTGACAATCCAGGGAAACCAACTTAGAGTCCCAGGAAACCCGAGTCCCCAGTCTTCCCGACTGACCACTGGGTGCCCCCTTTGTGTCCCCAGTACTATTACTCCGTGAGGGTCTTTGCTGGCCAGGAGCCCAGCTGCGTGTGGGTGGGCTGGGTCACCCCCGACTACCATCAGCACGACATGAACTTCGACCTCAGCAAGGTCCGAGCAGTGACGGTGACCATGGGGGACGAACAAGGCAACGTCCACAGCAGGTGCCAGGGTGGGGCGGGTGGGTCCTGTGGGGGTAGGAGATTGGGGGACACGAGGGGCAGAAGCTCCTGACCCCAGCTCTGCGGCTGCCTGGTTGTGGGACCCAGGGACCTTCTGGAGCGAGGGAAGCTCTGGAGTGCCAGGCACCCGGCTCAGAAGCTTCCCTCCTCTTCCTCCTTTTTTGCTCCTGTTCCGGCATCTTTCTTCTCCTCTTCCTCTTTCTCCATTTCTTCTTTTCCATTTTCTGCTTTCTTCTCCTGTTTCATCTCGCCTCCTCCTTCCACATAACCTCGCTCCTCCTGCTCCCCTTCCTTCTCCTCCCTCGGGGACCCCCCACCAGCCTCTAAGAACCTAGTTCTGAGGAGCTCAGGGTCTGGGGTGAGGAGTTTCAGCCATCAGGTCTGCAGGCGGCGGGCGCTTGGGGATGGGGCTCTGAGGTCACTGTGGTGTCCTGGGAGTCCAGGGAAGGGGGAGTCCAGGGTCCAGAGCGCCTCAGCTGAGGATCCACGCAGTGACCGCTCCTGTATCCTCCAGCCTCAAGTGCAGCAACTGCTACATGGTGTGGGGCGGGGACTTCGTGAGCCCCGGGCAGCAAGGCCGGATCAGCCACTCGGACCTTGTCATTGGCTGCCTGGTGGACCTGGCCACTGGCTTAATGACCTTTACAGGCAATGGCAAAGAGAGCAACACCTTTTTCCAGGTAAGCCCAGCCCACAGCAACTTTGCAATAGCATCGTCATGTCCCAGCATCTGGGAACAACCTTCCAGACTGCCCCTGAGGCCAGATTCCAGAAAGACAGAACAAAACCAGCTCCTAGTCTCTCCTCGGGAGGTCCCTGGGAGCCTGAGACCCTGAGACCAGGTCCCTGCCTCATTGAGACTTCCGTTAAACTGGAGCCTAGAATGGAGGAGACAGAGCTCAGCCCTGACCTTGGAGAGAGGTCCCTATTCCCTCTTGTGCTGGGTGACACCAGTCACCACCTTTCCACTAACCAGGGAACACCCTAGAATGGGCCAGGATCCTAAGGTGATCTTTTCTTTTGCAATATTTTATTATGAAAAATTTCAAGCATACAGCAAAATTGAAGGAATTGTATAGCAAATGCCCGTCTACCCACCACCAAGAATCTACCATCATTTTATTGCAGTGGCTTTATCACATATTTATCCATCAATCCATCAATCCATCTAAGGTGGGTTTTGTAAAACTTTCTTTTAAATGGTGAATTTTAAAACTGTGCAAGAATGGAATAGCAGAATGAACTGCCAAGCCCCCACGACATAGCACCAACTGTCACCCACCCCAGCTGGTCTTGTTTCATCTTTATGCTTCCTTCCCTTCCATACCCACTGCGTGATTTTGAAGGAAATTGCAAACATCATATGGTTTTATCTCTTTTCAGTATATATCTTTAAAAGATAAGGATTATTTTAAAAAGCACAACCACAATGTCACTATTACCTTAAAAAAAAAAACCTCAATAGTTACCAAATATCAAATATCCAGTCCTTGTTCAAAATTCTCTGGTTGTCTCAAAAATGTCTTTTTATTGTTCCTTTGTTTGAATCAGAATCTAAGTAAGGGCATATACTTTAATTGGGTGCTATGTCTCTCGAGTCTCTTTTCCTACATAGGTTTCCCCTCCACCTCTTTTTTCCCCTTGAAATATATTCGTTGAAAGAGCCAGGCTGTGTGTCCTGTAGCTCTTTGCTCCTCAAAGTGCACGCCCTGAACCAGCAGCATTAGCATCACCTGGGAGCTTGTTAGAAATGCAGAACCTGGCCGGGCGAGGTGGCTCACGCCTGTAATCCCAGTACTTTGGGAGGCCGAGGCGGGAGGATCGCTACAGGCCCGGAGTTCGAGACCAGCCTAAGCACGAGTGAGATCCCCATCTCTACAAAAAATAGAAAAATCAGCCGGGTGTAGTGGCGCATGCCTGTAGTCCCAGCTACTCGGGAGGCTGAGGCAGGAGGATCGCTTGAGCCCAGAAGTTTGAGGTTGCAGTGAGCTGTGATGAAGCCATTGCATCCTACCAGGGATGAAAGAGCGAGACCCCATCTCAAAAAATAAGTTAAATAAATGCAGAATCTCAGGTCCCCCCAACACCTGCTGAATCAGAACCTATATTTTAACAAGATCCCAGGGAATTCGTGTGCACATTAACATCTGGAGAGTGCTGGTAGAGTTTTCCATAGTCTGGGTCTGGCCGATGCCTTCCTGTGCTGTCGTTTTACATTTTCCTCTGTCCCCTGTATTTCCTGTAAATTGGGAGTTGGGTCCAGAGGTGCGATTAGATTCAGGTTTGGTTTGGGCAAGCCTGCTTCAGAGACGGTGTTTGTGGTAGCAGAGGCTGACTGGGTGGGTTCCACGGGGAAGATCGGAGGGAAGGCAGGCAGCCCGAGGACACTTTCTGGGATTTGAAGAGAGAATATGTTTGGGAGAGAAATGGGAAGGGCATGCCGGGTCGGGGCATGATGAGACCCAGATGACAGGTTGTCCTGGGGGAGCTGGAGGAGGTTGGCCTGGCTGGACCAGCCCAAGGGTGACCTCAGAGCCATTGTGGAGCCTCTAATGCCCAAGTGTGGGTCTGCAGATTGGCCCCAGAGTTTGAGGTCCAGAGTCAACACCGCTTCCAGCCCATCCTCTTCCTCACCTTGCCCTCTTCTTCCCTTCCAGGTGGAACCCAACACGAAGCTATTTCCTGCCGTCTTTGTCCTGCCCACCCACCAGAACGTCATCCAGTTTGAGTTGGGGAAGCAGAAGGTAAGAACGCAGTGATGGGAACACTCACGGGGACAGGCTGAGGTGGATGAGGTAGGGGGTGGGGAGGTCGGGCTGGTGGAGTGGCTGAAGGGAAGTGGGCAATCCCGGAGGTCTCCCTGGAAGCTGAGTGGTGAGACAGGGAGGTCTGGGAATCCTGACCCATGCGTGCCTCTGTGCCCCCAGAACATCATGCCATTGTCAGCCGCCATGTTCCTGAGCGAGCGCAAGAACCCAGCCCCGCAGTGCCCACCGAGGCTGGAGATGCAGATGCTGATGCCCGTGTCCTGGAGCCGCATGCCCAACCACTTCCTGCAGGTGGAGACGCGGCGCGCTGGCGAGCGGCTCGGCTGGGCCGTGCAGTGCCAGGAGCCGCTGACCATGATGGCGCTGCACATCCCCGAGGAGAACCGGTCAGGGCCCACCCAGCTGTGTGGGGGTGGGGCGGGCGCTGCAAGCCCTCTGGGGTCCGGATCCAACTCAGTGCCTATCCCCCCACAGCCCTGGGACTCCAGACAGCACCCCAGGAGGACCCAGACCTACCTCAGGGGACTCAGCCCAGACACCCCCAGACCTACCCACCTCAGTGGACCACAGACCCACCTCAGGGACCCCCAGACAACACCCCAGGGGCCCAGACCCACCTCACAGGACCCCAAACACATCTCAGGGAGCCCCGATAACACACCGGGGGCCCTGGACATTACTCAGAGAGAGGCTTGGATACACCCTGGGGTCTCCCTGGCATACCCAGGGAGATTTCATACCCACTCCGGGGAACTCAGACACACCCAGCGCGACACATGTGTCCACATGGATGGCAGGAATACTCTTAAGCACTCTGAACATGGCCAGGGATCCCAGACTCACCCCTGGAGGCTTCTGACGTGCCTCATTCTTTCCTTTGTTCATTCATTTGACAAACACCTCTGGGCTCCTCCTGTGTGTTCACCAGAATTCTAGGCCAGAAACACTGAGCCCTGTGAAGTGACACTTCAGTAATGCTCACATGTAACTCGGGGTGCTCAGACATGTCCAAGGGGACTCAGGCACATCCATTTATTAATTTATTCATTTAACAGATATTTACTGAGCTCCTATTTTAGGTGCTGCAAATATAACAAACAAAACCAAAAACAAAACAGGCAGAAACAACCTGCCTGGCTGGAGTTTCCATTCTCGTGGTGTTCAAACATAACCACGGTTACTCAGTCCTGCCACAGATGGTTCAAACCCAATATGGGGGTCCCAGACACCTCTCAGGGTCATCAGATGTTCTCTGTGGACTCTCAGATACCCCCAGAGTCCCAGACCATCCCAGGGGCCCCAGAGCCCTTAGGGACTTACAGAACTATTGGACGGGTCCTAAGTCACCCAGCTCCACCTCACAGAGCCTGACTGGGCAGGACCCTGGGATTCCCTGCTGGAGCCACCAGCACCCACTCTGTGGTCTGTGTCTGTCCCCAGGTGCATGGACATCCTGGAGCTGTCGGAGCGCCTGGACCTGCAGCGCTTCCACTCGCACACCCTCCGCCTCTACCGCGCCGTGTGCGCCCTGGGTAACAACCGCGTGGCGCACGCTCTGTGCAGCCACGTGGACCAGGCGCAGCTGCTGCACGCCCTGGAGGACGCGCACCTGCCTGGCCCGCTGCGCGCAGGCTACTACGACCTCCTCATCAGCATCCACCTCGAAAGCGCCTGCCGCAGCCGCCGCTCCATGCTCTCGGAATACATCGTGCCGCTCACGGAGGAGACCCGCTCCATCACACTCTTCCCGCCCGGCAGAAGCGCGGAAAATGGTCCCCGCCACCATGGCCTGCCTGGCGTTGGAGTCACCACCTCGCTCAGGCCCCCGCACCATTTCTCACCCCCCTGCTTCGTGGCCGCCCTGCCAGCTGCTGGGGCAACAGAAGCCCCCGCCCGCCTCAGCCCCGCCATCCCTCTGGAGGCCCTGCGGGACAAGGCCCTGAGAATGCTGGGGGAGGCGGTGCGGGACGGTGGGCAGCACGCACGCGACCCAGTCGGGGGCTCTGTGGAGTTCCAGTTCGTGCCCGTGCTCAAGCTCGTGTCCACGCTGCTGGTAATGGCTTCCTCCTGCCTCCCTCTGTCCTGTTCTTCCGCATTCCGAATAATCCAAACGTGCATACATCAATCCCCCTCCCGCTTACGCATCCAGCCACCCACTCATCTCTCCTCCGTGCATCCAGCACCTTTCAGTTTATCCTTCCATCTGCCCATCCTTCATTCACCTTCCTTCCATCCGTTCATCTGTCATCTATTCATGTTTATTCATCCCTTCCTCCTTCATCCCGTTCATCTATCCAACTAGCCGGAATTCGTCCACCCGTAGCTTCGTTCACTCTCCACCCACCTTTCCAACCATCCATCATCCCTTCATTCGTATACATCCTTATCCTCCATCGACAGGCCCATCCACCTTTCTGTCCATCTGTTCTCCACCCACATACCCATCCATGCATTCACATATCCATCCATGCAACTTTCAGTCTGTTTGCCCCCATCCTTCCATTCATTCGTACATCAGTCCATCCCCCACTCCACCTATTCATCTGTCCACCTGCTCATTTATTGATTGATCTCTCTTTCCTTCCATACATCTAATAATCATCTTTCTACCTGTGCATCCGTCCATACACCCATCCACAGATCCACCCATTCCTCCATTTTCCACCTACCTTTTCATCATCCGTGCATCTCTCCATCCATATGTATATACACCCATCCACCTACCCACCAATCCGTCCAGCCATCTATACACCCCTTCATCCACCCATCCATCCATTCCCCATCCTTCTATCCATCCCTTGTTTCACGTACCCTTCTATTCGCATGCCCATCTAACCATTCATCCGTACAGCCACCTATGCAACTTTTCATGCACAAGTCTTTCCAGCCATGCAGCCAACCATTCCCCCACCCCACCCCAATGGCTATTTAATCATTTATCTATGTATTTATGCATACGCTCATTTACTTGCTCATGCTTCTATCAACCCATCCGTCTACCCACCACCTACCTATACATCATTTGTCCTTCTGTTATCCGTCCACCCACATCTCTTCCAGCACCATTTCCTTCATCTCTCCACCATGATCTACCCATTCATTCCTCTCCCCTTCAAACCTCTACCATTCCATGTATCAATTCGTCCAGCCAGCCACCCAGTCCTCCCTCTACTCATCCGTCTGTCTCTCTCCCCACTGTTCTTCCCTTTCATCTACCTTTCTGCTTCCATCTGTTAGTATCTCCATTGTACTGACTGAGAGCTGGTGTGTGCCGGGAGCTATACAGGCCTCCATCAGGTGTAGGGTGTGTCCTGTGCCAGAGCCACATATGCTCAGGCTTGGGAGAAAGGACACTTACCTGTGAAAGGAGAGGCTCTCATGTGTGACATGCTCTGGGCCATGTGGGTGAGACACAGGGTGTAGATCTGAGGGGGTCTTAAGGAGGGTGGGTGGCAAGGCAGGGGATGCCCTTCCTGCTTGTGGGAGGAGCCATATGCGGTCAACACGGGAGTGAGTCTGGCGTGCGCAGGAGAAGCAGGTCTGGGGGGTGAGGCCGGGGCCGGATTGTGGAGGCCTCACAGGCCACAGTGAAGGACCCAGACTTTGTCCTGTAGGTGATGGGCGTCTTCCGCGATGAGGATGTGAAACAGATCTTGAAGATGATTGAGCCTGAAGTGTTCACTGAGGAAGAAGAGGAAGAGGAGGAAGAAGAAGAGGAGGAAGAGGAGGATGAGGAGGAGAAGGAGGAGGATGAGGAGGAAGAGGCACAGGAGAAGGAAGATGAGGAAAAGGAGGAAGAGGAGGCAGCAGAAGGGGAAAAAGAAGAAGGCTTGGAGGAGGGGCTGCTCCAGATGAAGCTGCCGGAGTCGGTGAAGCTGCAGGTGGGTTTTGCTCCTTCCTGTTCTCCAGGCTGGGAGTCTCGGGGTCTGGGGGGCACAAGCCTGGACTTTGCCCTGAGGCGTGGGGAGCAGTGGAAACGCAGAACGCAGTGGGTGATGCTGGCTTGGAACGATCTCTCTGGTTTCCGTGTGGGATGAGACCGTGCAGAGGCTGGCTTAGGGACCCCAGCAGGAGATGATGGTGGCTGGACCTGGCAGGGCCACGGGGAGGGGAGAGAAAGCAAAACAAAGTTTTGAGGAGGTCCCAATGGACTCCCCTTTATCCCTCCTGCCGCATGGCTGTCCTTCCTCAGATGTGCCACCTGCTGGAGTATTTCTGTGACCAAGATCTGCAGCACCGCGTGGAGTCCCTGGCAGCCTTCGCAGAGCGCTATGTGGACAAGCTCCAGGACAACCAGCGCAGCCGCTACGGCCTGCTCATGAAAGCCTTCACCATGTCTGCCGCCGAGACTGCCAGGCGCACGCGCGAGTTCCGCTCCCCGCCCCAGGAGCAGGTGACTCCGGCCGGCCTTACCGGCCAACTCCTAACCTCAGCATCTGTCCTGACTCTGGTCTCTGATGGGCCTCCGCTTCTAAACCCATGCCTGCCCCTTGACCCTGGCGATCTAGTCACCTGTTACTCTCATACCTCTCTCTGCACCACCCTGACCTCTGAGTCGGCACAGACTGACCCTGACCCCTTTCAGACCTCTGCCCTAGGCTCCCAGATACTCTTCATTAAGTCACGCTTTGACTCAGACTTTAGACAGGGACTTACTTAGTACAACTGGATCTTCGATCTCTGACCTCAGAGTTCCTGCTCTGCGGTCTCAGACCCTCATTCTAACCTTTGACCTTGCCCTAGATCAACATGCTATTGCACTTCAAAGATGCTTCAGACGAGGAAGACTGTCCTCTCCCTGAAGAGCTTCGGCAGGATTTGCTGGACTTTCATCAAGACCTGCTGCTGCATTGTGGTAAGGAGAGGGGATCGGAGAGCCCGGCCCCCAAGACCTTCCCTTGAAACCTCTCCCGAAGTTTCCCTAAGATTTCCTGACCTTAAGCCTCTGTGGCATTGGTGCTACATAACTATTGGTTGAATGAATGTACAGTGATGACGAGTGGAAGGGTATGTTCATGTGGGCATCTAGGTGGATGGCTACAGGCAGGTAAATGGATGGGCGTGTGAATGGATGGATAGAAGGATGGACGAATAAAGAAAGAGAAGAGTGAACAAGGCCGGCTGGACAGATGCATGGTTGACAGTGGGTGGAGAGGTGGCTGGCTGGCTGGAAGGACGGGTAGATGACCTCTGTTGTTTCTGATGAGATGTCACCTGATAGCCTTACTGAGATTCCCTTGTACATGATGAGTCATTTTTCCCTGGTTGACTTTCAAGATTTTCTCTTTGTCGCTGCCTTTCAACAGAGTACGATGTGTCTAGGTGTGGAGCTCTTTGAATTTATCCTGTTTGGAGTTTGTTGAGTTTCTTGGATGGGTAGATTAATACTTTTTATCAAAGTTGGGATGTTTTTGGCAATTATTTCTTCAAATACTTTTCTGCCTCTTTCTCTCCTTCTGGGACTTTTCATTATGAATATATTGGTATGCTTGGTGACATCCCAAGGTCTCTGAGGCTCTCTGTCATTTTTCCTCATTCTCCCATTTTTCTGTGTTTTAAGACTGGACAATCCCTATGTCCTACCTTCAAATTCACTGATTGTCTCTCCTACCATGTCAAATATTCTACTGAACCTCTCTGCTGGCTTTTTATTTTAGTTATTGTAGTTTTCAACTCCAGAATTTCTATATGGTTCTTTTGCATATTATTTACCTGTTTGTTAATATTCTCTACTGAGTGAGACACTATCATTGAACTTCCCTTTAATTCTTCAGACATGGTTTCCTTTAGTTCTTTAAACATATTTGCAATAGCTGATTTAAAAGGCAAATGTTTCACAGGATAAATAAATGAGCAAAGATATGAACACATAAAGAAATATGGTGGCACACTCCTATAATTGCAGCTACTTGGGAGGCTGAGGCAGGAGGATTGCTTGAATCAGGAGTTTGAGACCAGCCTGGGCAACATAGTGGGATCCCATCTCAAAAAAAAAAGAAATGAAAAACTCCATAAATGCATGCATGTGTGAATGAATGAAGAAGTGAATGATCGAGCAGGTGAATAAACAAACAGATGGATGACATTCCCTTCCTTCTTGACCACTTGCAGGAATTCAGCTTGGGGGAGAGGAGGAGGAACCGGAGGAAGAGACCACCCTGGGAAGCCGCCTAATGAGTCTGTTGGAGAAAGTGCGGCTGGTAAAGAAGGAGGAGGAGAAGCCCGAGGAGGAGCCGCCAGCTGAGGAGAGCCAGCCCCGTGAGGATGAGGGGATGGTGGGGCAGGGTGGGCAGCCCTGTGCTGGGGAGCCTCTGTGTCCCAAGCAGGCCATGAGGAGGGATGCAGGGACGGGCAGCTAGGCAGGAAGGAGGGCAGGGGGGTCGGAGTGAGGGAGTGAGGTGTGCAATGACCTGGGGAAGGATGATAGGTACAAAGGGAACAGTCAGTGCAAAGGCCCTGGGGTAGGGACATGCTTGGTGCATTTGGAGCCTAGAGTGGTGAGAGACGAGGACAGGGAAGTGACAAGGCCAGATCAGGTAGGGCCACTGGAAGGAAAGTAGGATCAACATGTCATGGGTCCTGCATTGACACTATCATTCATTGCCAGTGCAGCATGGCTTCTCCTGACCCTGAGACACAGGAGACGTCTCTTTTCTGTCCCCAAACATTCTGGGAAGGAGCAAAAGGTTGGGAGAGAAGGAGACACAGACAGATGAATGGATACTGGGTGTAGGGGGATGAGTCCGCGGGAGGTCACCAGGGAGAATAAGACACAGAGTTGTTTTGTCATCATTTTGAAACGATACCAGAGTCCTTGCAGTTTTACTTTGGGTCTGTGGTCTCTCTTGGTGAAAAGTCGGCAGTATTTTTGTAGAACAAATGGAATTGTCACTTGTGCTTTCAAAGGTGCACGTGAGTGCTTCTGATAGTGCTCTGGTGTTTTGCAGTTACAGTTTATTATTTTTCCTCTTGAGACTTGGAGGGAGCCCTTCTGGTCTGGATGTTAGGGTGGAGGGAACAGGAGATTCTTGGGGCGGTAGAAAAAAGTCTTCCAGAATCTGCCCGCTCGTGCAGGTGGAGGGTGGGGATAGGTGGGAACACTCGGGGGACAAAGAGCCCCTTCCACATCGTCCTGGCTCCAGGCCCCACGTGCTGTCCTGCCCTGGCACAGAGTTCTGATCCTTGTGTCCCCTCCCCAGGGTCCCTGCAGGAGCTGGTGTCCCACACCGTGGTGCGCTGGGCCCAGGAGGACTTCGTGCAGAGCCCCGAGCTGGTGCGGGCCATGTTCAGCCTCCTGCACCGGCAGTACGACGGGCTCGGCGAGCTGCTGCGAGCCCTGCCGCGGGCCTACACCATCTCGCCGTCCTCCGTGGAGGACACCATGAGCCTGCTCGAGTGCCTGGGCCAGATCCGCTCGCTGCTCATCGTGCAGATGGGCCCCCAGGAGGAGAACCTCATGATCCAGAGCATCGGGTGAGGCCCAGACCCTGACTTCTCACATCCCACGAAGGTGGCTCCAGCCTGTCCCCCGGGTGATGTCCTCTGTACAATAATGTCCCCTTCCCCCAACTTCTGGCCCATCCTCGGGGTGATAGACTCTGTCGCCCAGTGGCTAGCCCATCTCCCTGGGTGATGTCCCCTTTCTTTACCTCCACTCTCTGTGGTGACAGCTTCTACTCACGTGTGACTCTTGGCACGAGGTTTACCTTTTTAGAGCTTCAGTTTCCTCTTCTGTAAAATGGGGAGGAGCCACCCATATCCTGTGGCTTCAGTGCTGTGGCTTCAGTGAGCTCGCGCGAGCAATCACAGTAGTGGTTCCATTGAGTACTCAGGGTCAAAGGTGTTTCATTCACACGGCAAACACGTAGCAAGCACCTTCCTAGGCACTTGGGGCTACAATGGGCAACATGACAAAGATCTCCACCCTCGGGGAGCCACCTTAGATCGGCGCCTCAGTCTCCTTATCTGTGAAATAGGGACAGTCATAGTTCCTGCTCCCAGAGCGGCCATGAGGATGGGAAGAGTTCGGATCTGTAAAGCAGGTGGTGCCAGGCACAGGGTGAGAGGTCAGCAGATGCTAATTGCTGTCGCAGTGGTAGCGATGGCTCTCCCTGGACTTGGGCTCCACCCGGCCCCTGGTGACTCCATGCCCTCTACCTGGCCACAGGAACATCATGAACAACAAAGTCTTCTACCAACACCCGAACCTGATGAGGGCGCTGGGCATGCACGAGACAGTCATGCAGGTCATGGTGAACGTCCTCGGGGGCGGCGAATCCAAGGTGAGGGGCCTGGGTGGGCCGGGGAGCTCTGGGGAGGGTGCCACAGAGGGCAGGCACTGACCCCCAGCCCACCCTGCCTGCCCCAGGAGATCCGCTTCCCCAAGATGGTGACAAGCTGCTGCCGCTTCCTCTGCTATTTCTGCCGCATCAGCCGGCAGAACCAGCGCTCCATGTTTGACCACCTGAGCTACCTGCTAGAGAACAGCGGCATCGGCCTGGGTAAGAGTCCCCGAGCCCAGGAGCTGCCCCCCAGGACCCACTCCTGGCACCCCATCCAGGCCTGCCCACTCTCCACTGGTTCACTCGCTCATTCAGTCATTCAACAAACACGCACTCTCAACCCCCTGTGGGTCTGGCCCTGTAATGAGTAATGCTGGGGACACAGTAGTGACCTCACTGGGCTCACAGTGCAGTGGGGAAGACAGACCTATGTCAGACAGCAACAGCCCAGAGTGGTCAGGGCTGGGATGAGCAAATACAGACCAGACTAGGCACCTGACCCAGGCTGGAAAAGGGGTGGTCAGGGAGGACTTCCCAGAGGAGGAAGCAGGAGTGACATTCTTACCCCCTCTTGGCCCCGCAGGCATGCAGGGCTCCACGCCCCTGGATGTGGCTGCCGCCTCTGTCATTGACAACAACGAGCTGGCTTTGGCGTTGCAGGAGCAGGACCTGGAAAAGGTGTTGGGGGGGGCGGCCCCCGGGCTGAGGGAGGAGGCCTGGCCCCTGCCTGTCTGCTTGGGGCACCTGCTGATTCTGGACCCATTCCGGGGATAATTCGGGATGGTCCAGGCCAAATCAGAAGGAGAAAAATTTGCAGGGAGGGAACAGCACCCAGCTGCTCGTTCATGGGCGCTTCACGGCTGGGTGCAGATCGGAGCTCTGCGCTTCCCAGCTGGGTGGCCTGGGCACGTTTTGCGGCCCTCTGTGCCTCCACTTCTTGTGCAGTGGTGACGTGCGTGGGCTCTGGAGTTCAGCGACTTAGGTTCATCTCCCCCAACTCCCTTGCTGTGTGGCCTTGAACAAGGGACTTAGAGACTCCACGCCTCCGTCACCTCATCCGTACAATGAATATAGTAATAGAAATGACTTCATAGAGTTGTTCTGAGAATTAAATGAGTTAATCCAGCAAAGCGTTTATAAAACAGCACGCAATAATGGCTAGCTGCTATTATAGCATCATTCATCTAATAAATATTTATTCGCACCCACCACGTTAGCACCTGTGAAAGGCAGTGGCAGTATGACGGCCATTTCCAAGTAAAGCTCAGGAGGTGAGGGGCCAGATGTCATCCGGGGGAAGGGCATTGCAGGCAGAAGGAACAGCCAGTGCAAAGGCCCTGAGGCAGGAGTGAAACTTGTGAGTTGGAGAAATGGCAGAGAGACCAGTGTGGTTGGAGCAGAGGCAGTGAGGGTGATGGAAGGAGGTGACAGGCAGGTCATGTGGCATCATGTGGCGAGGACTCTGGCTTTTATCCCGAGTTAGAGGAATCACAGGGTTCCGAGCAGTAGAGGGATGTGACCTGACTCAGACGTTCACAAAGTCCCTCTGGCTACATGCGGGGAGCAGACCAAGGGCAAGGGGAAGGACGGGAGCAGGATGCCCAGGGAGGGGCTGTCCAGGGGGAGATGAGGGCGGACGGGACCAGGGCTAGTTGCCGAGGGACCCAGGGATGAATGGGATGGAGGGGCTGCGGGGCTGGGCTGAGCTCTGAGCCCTGAGGAGGAAGGGGGTGGGCCCGGTCTCTGGCTGAGCCCTCTCCCGCCCCCAGGTTGTGTCCTACCTGGCAGGCTGTGGCCTCCAAAGCTGCCCCATGCTCCTGGCCAAAGGGTACCCGGACATTGGCTGGAACCCCTGTGGCGGTGAGCGCTACCTGGACTTCCTGCGCTTCGCCGTCTTCGTCAACGGTGAGGAGGAGATGGCAGTGGCAGGGTGGGAGGTGTGCGGTCACTGGCCAAAGCCATCCTCGGTGACAGCCCACACCTCGAGTCACAGGCCTGGCATCACCCCTTGAGGTGTGGGCCTGGGGCTGCGTGGGGAGGGTCCCTGCATGTGGCTCACGAGACCCCCCGACCCGCCCGGTGGCCAGGCGAGAGCGTGGAGGAGAACGCCAACGTGGTGGTGCGGCTGCTCATCCGCAAGCCCGAGTGCTTCGGGCCCGCCCTGCGGGGCGAGGGCGGCTCAGGGCTGCTGGCCGCCATCGAAGAGGCCATCCGCATCTCTGAGGACCCGGCGCGGGATGGCCCAGGCGTCCGCAGGGACCGGCGGCGCGAGCAGTGAGTCTCCTAGTCCCTACTCAGTGGGGCGACCCGCCCTCCCCGTGCCCCTTGCCGCCTCCCCCACACCACCCCCCTTCTCTTACAGCTTCGGCGAGGAGCCCCCTGAAGAAAACCGGGTGCACCTGGGACACGCCATCATGTCCTTCTATGCCGCCTTGATCGACCTGCTTGGACGCTGCGCGCCAGAGATGCACGTGAGACCTGGAGGGCCAGGGTGGGATGGCGGGATGGCGATGAGGGGGGGCCTGTGTGGCCGGCCTTGAACCCTCCATTCAGCGCACTGATTGGGCTCTCACTGCGTGGGTGGTCCTGGGCTAGGCAATGCTGGGGACATGACAGTGACCAAGACTGCCCCAGGCCCCAGGGTCACAGAGCTCCCAGACCAGTGGGGGAGACAGACAGTGATAGCCCAGAGGGGTCAGGGGGGATGGGGGCACAGGCAGAGGGGTCGGGGCTGGAAATTCCAGAGTTAGCCCCTTGCACGGGAGTCCTGCTTTACCTGCCGGTGTGCCAGGCAGGGATGGAACAGAGCAGTCACTAAATGGGGCACAGGTGCCCGATGACGTGTCCCCCTCCCCCAGCTGATCCAAGCCGGCAAAGGCGAGGCCCTGCGGATCCGAGCCATCCTCCGCTCCCTCGTGCCCTTGGAGGACCTCGTGGGCATCATCAGCCTCCCACTGCAGATCCCCACCCTGGGCAAAGGTGCGGAGGGGGTAGGACTTGGCAAGGGCGTGATGCTGGGGAGGGGGCCCCTGTGTCCTCAGGGCATCCCTGACCCCTGCACTCCTTGCCTGTAGACGGGGCTCTGGTACAGCCAAAGATGTCGGCGTCCTTCGTGCCGGACCACAAGGCGTCCATGGTGCTCTTCCTGGACCGTGTGTATGGCATCGAGAACCAGGACTTCCTGCTGCACGTGCTGGACGTGGGCTTCCTGCCCGACATGAGGGCGGCCGCCTCGCTGGACACGGTGAGCAGCCCCGCCCAGCCTGGCCAGCCCCCTGACTCCCTAGAGGGACATGAGACGGGTCATGGGACAGCAGCAGCACTTTTGTTTTCCTGGGATATCTGTACATACCATAATCCCCACCAACACCATCAAGATAGAAAACAAAAACCAAGAAAAACAGTCCTGGCGGAGGGTGGGTAGGCGTCCCCAACACCTCCAGTTACGGGAAATCATTCTCAGTGACAGTTTAGCACTCTGGACACACCGACCTCTGCACAGCAGCAGTAGTGACGAGATGACGGGCCAAGGAAGATGAGGACTGAGAACTGACCACTGGCTTAGCCAAGTGGAGGTCACTGTAACCTTGACAAGTAGTTTAGGGCTTAAGAGAGCCCGGGGGCCTTGGCGGCAGCAAGTGCTGACAATCCTTTACACAAATTGCTGGCAGGGGAGGCAGAGGCTGCGGTGACCGCCATACGGGGGACACCTGGTCAAGCAAAGGTGCTGCCTAGATGGGAGAGAGAACCGCTGGCCTTAGCTGGGAAGACGAACACTGGAGCTTGAATCTGTAACCAGCAGTTTATAGGAAATACAGGAGGCAGAGAAACAAGTTAACTGATACCCCGAGGAAGCTACCAGGCAAAGCCAAAATGTCGGGAGTTCCCTACAGGGAACAGGACAAATGATCCTGTTTCTCCAGCAAATAAATAGCTTTAAAAAGGGGAGGAAAAGGGACAGTTATAGATGAAAAGATGTCCGGGAATGGTGGCTCATGCCTGTAATCTTAACATTCTGGGAGGCCAAGGTGGGAGGATCGCTTAAGGCCAGAAGTTCAAGACCAACTTGGGCAACATAGTGAGACCTTGTCTCTACAAAAACCAAAAAAAAAAGCCCTAAGAGATCTGTCAGCCAAGGACAGTGTGTAGACCTTCCTGGGACCCTGATCCAAGCCATCCTAGCTAAATGCAAAATAATTTTCAAGACAGTTGGAGACAGCTGATCATGAACATTGAGACTATGAGATTGTTAATTCTATTAGGTGCGGCAACAGCCTGGACTGTTAAGTAGAAGCACTTGCCTGAATGGAGTTGCATATTTCAGTGTGGGTGAAATGATATATGGCTGGGGCATGCGTGCAAATATTACAGGAACAAAGGTGACGGTCAGAGAGGACATACACGTGTCTGCAGAACAGCTGCATCTGGGTATTGGGGTTCATTAATATTGTCAATCAGTTCCCGGACTTCTGTGTGTGTTTGAAATTTCGCACAGTTGAAAGTAATAAGGGGTGGGCCAGAAACTTGGAGAAGCAGTTTTTGGGGGAATGATCAGAAGCTTGGGCCCATTAGCCTAGGGGTGTGCCGCAGGCCTGATGTCCCCATCCTGTGCCCCAGGCCACTTTCAGCACCACGGAGATGGCGCTGGCGCTGAACCGCTACCTGTGCCTGGCGGTGCTGCCGCTCATTACAAAGTGCGCGCCGCTGTTCGCGGGAACCGAGCACCGCGCCATCATGGTGGACTCCATGCTGCACACGGTGTACCGCCTGTCCCGCGGCCGCTCGCTCACCAAGGCGCAGCGCGACGTCATCGAGGACTGCCTGATGGCGCTCTGCAGGTGCGGGGGACCCCGCACGGGGCGCGGGCGGCGGCGCAGGACTACAGGGGCCTCCAGGTGAGACGCCACCGCCCTGTGCCTGTTCCCGCAGGTACATCCGCCCGTCCATGCTGCAGCACCTGCTGCGGCGCCTGGTGTTCGACGTGCCCATCCTGAATGAATTCGCCAAGATGCCGCTCAAGGTGAGGGCAAACCCCTCTTTAACCGGCTCATTTCCATGCCCCGCCCATTGGTTTGCTAGCGACTGGGGGGCTCGGTTTGTATCAGCACTGTCCCCTCCCAGTTCACCTGCACTAGTGAGGGCAGCATCCCCATGGAAACCTCTTTGCATCCTTATTTGCATACTAGGATTCCCAGGACATTTACTTTGCGTCATTGGTGTCTCTAGCATTCCCTAATTAGCGTTTAATTTGTCTAACAGTAAGCCAGCCCCCGCCTGATTAGCATATATTTGCATGGGGCACACCATTTTCCCTAATTAGCATGTTTATTCGCATGCCCAGACCACCAGCCTTACACTATTCAAATGAGTGCATTTATTTGAATAAACTGTAGCACAGCTATTCTGAATATTTGCACACTGTCTCTCCTACTTTTTCATTTGCATGCTAGTTTGCATAAAGGGATACCCCCAACTCAGATTATTTTGCATACTACATCTAAATCAGCCTCTATTTCAAATTTGCAATATTGGATGCTGGGGGCCCTCTTCCCAATTACCATATATTTGCATGCAGTGCTGCTTATGTTTCTATTTGGCATGTTAATTTGCGTAAGCACAGATCACTCCATCCATATGCCCATTTACACACTACCCTGCTCATGGATTAATATTAACATGCTTATTTGTGTAAAGCGACACCAGACAAACCCAGCTCTAGTTTAATGCCTATGTTGATGCTAAATTAGAATGATAAATTTGCATAATAAACTGTCCAGGACCCCTCCTCAATAAACTTGCAATTCCTTCCCTTATTAGCATACTATTTCCATAATCCATACTGCCTTCATAATTTAAAAGCGCTGGCACCCCCAGACTTCCCTGGGCCTTCATTTGCCTGCCATCTGCTTATACCCTCTCATCTGCCCGCCCCCCCTTGCTCCCACCCAGCTCCTCACCAACCACTATGAGCGCTGTTGGAAGTACTACTGCCTCCCCACAGGCTGGGCCAACTTCGGGGTCACCTCAGAGGAAGAGCTGCACCTCACGCGTAAACTCTTCTGGGGCATCTTTGACTCTCTGGCCCATAAGGTCTGGACACCAGGGAGCCCCAAAGGGGGCCTATGGTGGAGGGCTTGGGGCCCAAAGTTTGAACCCCAAAATTTGAAATCCCCAAATTTGGGGGGCTTGAGAGGGAGGCAGTTCTGCAGGTTTGGATCGAAGAGAATCTGTGGGTTGAGGCTTCAGTTTGGGGGTTATGGAGGAAGGGATGAGCCTCTAGTTTGGAGGCTTGGAGAGGGGCAATATGTTGGTGATTTGAGGGTCCAGTTGGGTCTGAGGATTGGGTTTCAGGGAGAGGGACTGTAATTCAAGTCTGGGGGCTCAGGGAAGAGGGTTGATGATTGGAGCTTGTCAGTTTGAAGTCCTGGGGCTCCAGGGTTTGAAGCCTCAGAGAGGCCTGCAGGACCTCCTAACCCCACCCCACCCCACCCCGGCATCCCCAGAAGTACGACCCGGAGCTGTACCGCATGGCCATGCCTTGTCTGTGTGCCATTGCCGGGGCACTGCCCCCTGACTACGTGGACGCGTCATACTCATCCAAGGCTGAGAAAAAGGCCACAGTGGATGCTGAAGGCAACTTTGATCCCCGGCCTGTGGAGACTCTCAAGTGAGGCCGGGGACAGGAGTGGACTGAGGCTTGGGGGCTGGGAGAAGGAGAGGAAGATCTCCGGGGTTAGGAGGCCCAGCCCCAGCATGCTCTGACCGTGTCCCCCCAACAGTGTGATCATCCCGGAGAAGCTGGACTCCTTCATTAACAAGTTTGCAGAGTACACGCACGAGAAGTGGGCCTTCGACAAGGTTGGCATCAGGGTCCTTCCTTCCCAGAAGCCCTCAAGACCCCAGCTTCCCACTCCCAGCCTCCCCGTCTGCGTCCCCCAGGCTGCCGCCTACCCCTCATCCCACCTCTCCACCTCTAGATCCAGAACAACTGGTCCTACGGAGAGAACATAGATGAAGAGCTGAAGACCCACCCCATGCTGAGGCCCTACAAGACCTTTTCAGAGAAGGTGACCAAGCCATGGGGCCCAACAGAGGGGGTCAAAATGAAACCATCACATTTGGGGGTTCAGGGAGGAGGGAGACACTTGACAGGTTTTGGTGGATCTGTGGGTTAGGGCTCCCCAGCCATGGGCTTTGGTGGCCTCTCCTAGTGTTTCCATTAGAGTCAGCAAGGGTGGATTTGATTGCTTTACGGAAAGACTTAACTTCTCTGAGACTCTAGTGTAACATGGACAATGGCAGTGTCTTTGGGAGGCTCTGGTACAGAGCGAGCGAGAGACCTGTGTTCAAATCCGGAGGAAGGACCGCTTCCTAGCCCCATGGTGTGGCTGGGGATTTCCCCTTCTTGGGAGGTGGCGGCCCCGGAGGCTGAGGGGGGTGCTGCTTCCCCCGCCTCCCTCTCGCCCCTTTCCACCAACACCCCACCCTCCTGTCCGCCCCAGGACAAAGAGATTTACCGCTGGCCCATCAAGGAGTCCCTGAAGGCCATGATTGCCTGGGAATGGACGATAGAGAAGGCCAGGGAGGGCGAGGAGGAGAAGACGGAGAAGAAAAAAACGCGGAAGATATCACAAAGTGCCCAGGTGGAGGCGGGGCCTGGGCAGGGGCGGGGTCATGAGGGGCAGGGCGGGACCAGGAGTGGGTGGAGCCGAGGCCGAGGGAGAGGGAGCGGGTCAGAGGGGCGAGACCAGAAGAGGGGTGCCAAAGTCTGAGCGACCTGGGAGAGGAGAGGGCGTGGGTCTGACGAACCGCTAAGGACAGAGGGGAGAAGGAGGTGGTGGTTTAGAGACAGAGCCTTAAGGAGAGGACACAGAGGAGGGGTGCAGAGCCAGGGGAGGAGGAGGGTGGAACGGGCCGCGGATCCTGGAGGAGGGGCTGGCCTGGGCTTCCCGCTAGCCCATCCAGCCCCACCATCCCCCCCTCGTCCCCCAGACCTACGACGCGCGAGAAGGCTACAACCCCCAGCCCCCCGACCTTAGCGGAGTTACCCTGTCCCGGGAGCTGCAGGTGAGACCCTGATCCTTTTAGGGGGAATAGGGGTGTCTTTAGGGGGCAACCTTTGAGTCTGGGCCTTGACTCCTTGCATCCACTCCCAGGCCATGGCAGAACAACTGGCGGAAAATTACCACAACACGTGGGGGCGGAAGAAAAAGCAGGAGCTGGAAGCCAAGGGTGAGCGCCCCATC